TGTAGGCCGCCGTAGTTTGTGAAAGACGCATGCATTCGTCAAATGTCACAACGTGGATTGTCCTTATGTCATACTTCTTAAACGTTAGTACCTAAGTCATTGAAGAAATCACACCACGTTCTTTACACAAAAAGTTACAAATTCTGTTTCCAATAAAACCTTTTTAGAGACGATGTAACTTTTACTATTTAAAAATTATACCCGCTGTTTAAAAATGGCATTTTTAAGCAATATTTATCAGAATTTCTAACTTTCCACATAAGTATAATATGTTACAATGTTATTCCCTACTATATAAATTGATATTTGTTCATCATAAGATGCCAAACCGACTTCAGTTGTTTCACAGCCTTTTTGAGTCTTGGTGGTATAAAAATTGGTATTTGAACTCTGTCCTTTAAAAATACTGTTATTATTATTATTTGTAAATACTCTTTGCTACCATTTCGTTAGGAAGGTTTTTTATAAAAGAGGATTTAAGACCCATCACAATTCACTATATATTTGTTTGTAACTATGTATATTTTGTACTGCATACCATAGTACACTCCGCTTTAAAATATCTGAGCCGGAGTACTGTTTTGTTCACACCGGTATCAGTAGGTAAAAAACTGTTAGTAACTTGAGAGGTATTTTTAAAGGCAAATCGTATGGATTAATAATTTATTTATATGCATCAAACCTTCCATATTTTATCAAGATCACAAGACACAGGACAGAGTTAAACAATAATGATATTAGTAAACTAAGAGGCGGGAATGAATAAGATACTCGTGAATTCGTCAGTACCACAAGTGAAGATAGTATCACAATTATAAAATAAAAACACTCGTATTGTGTTGTTTATTAGTTCTTATTATCTGAATGCTGGGGCAAGAGTTACTATTTGGTAAAATATATTCGTTGTTTAACAACGCCGTTTTATGTTCACACAACCTGAATAAGTCTTTTCCTTTGGCAAACTTTAATACTGAATCACTAGTTATCATCACTGAAGATTGATCATAAAACAATGGGAATAAGTAGTTTATAACCTATAGTTTAACTGGGAGTACCCATTGGGTTATTAAGTAAATAGAAATAGATTACGGTACGAAATAGTGAAGTGCCTAGGAAAAGACATGACGCCTACAGCTCAATACTGAACAACCACTTCTATCTCTTGCCCATACGACCAGATTTCTTAATATTATTTGTTTTTAATATTTATAACGTTGTTTTAATGATCTTAGCCTCTTCTATGCATTTCTCAGTCTCAGGGAATGTATGTTGGTAAGTCTCTTCGTTGCCTTACAAAATATATGTTCACACATTCGAACTTTTTTTTATAAATGTCATAAAAATATTTGAAGGAAATTATTTAAACACGTTCTTTTCGTTTTAATTTTAAATATACATATACATATATAGTTTTATCGTGCTCTAAGTTAAAGAGTACTTAGTACTACATACTATTTGAAGCAATAATTTTATTGGCCTCTTACGTTGGCCTATGGTCTTGTCTCATTGGGATACCGTAGGAAAATGCACTTTAGTTCCTTTGATTTTAGATTCGAATCGCAAAATTAGTTTAGAGAGCTTTTGGTATAGACTATAATCAATATTTGCTGTTATTCAGATGTCAACAGTATCCCAATCAAATAAGATTGCACCCTATGCTAACAATATATAATCTAAAATTGAAAACACTTTGGAATTTCGAATGTTATAAAGTTGTATCGTGTAATTCTATAAAGGCATATAATGTGAGAGTTTGTCTTTTTGTTCGTCGTAACATCACAAAGATTGTGCGTGGCCATCGTGTACACACTGTCAATAGTTTCATGAAACATTGTTGTTAATACGTTTCCTGAAAGCCTGACTTTAAAGTGAATAATTAATTAAAACTAATTTATTAATGAAACTAGGTGAGAAGTAATCAGGCTAGCAGAAGGGCGTAGTACAATATAAACACTAAATTATTTGTTTAGAACGGCAGCTGTTAGTAGAATAGGATAATTTCGATTAGTTGCAATCCTTTTGCGTACGAATCATGTTGTTCAGTCTATATTTTCAAATGCATGTATTGGGGACGGACTATCATGTTCATGGTTTCTGTAAACCTGGGCTCCTTATTCCCCATGAAATAAAGTCTATTTTCGTTTAATAGTTATAGTTACATCTGGCTATTCGAAAGCATTATATCCAGCTACGTTTATCATCGAATGTTCATTCGTTCGTCAAATCGTTCCCTTAATTGTAAAACGGTTTACATGAAAGCGATTTCCGTCAGTAAGTTTTGAAAATGCTTTAAATATTTGTATGAAACTATACTAGCTGCATTGTCCGATGTCTGCCTACATTTCCTAACAAAATACTCCTATATTCGTTTGTCTTTCTTGTTTACATTTCACAGTAGCAGTGGCACTTGTTATTTTATAAAAATTCACTGTATTTGATACAGTATCGCGATCGTTCGCTTAAAGCTTCAAGTTGATATAAATGATGTATTTGTAATACTTCGTTATATGTTGTGCAATGTTCGTGAACCCGTCAGTATAATCGGTACTATATTTACAATTTTCCACGGGTCCCATGACTAGATAGATGTTTAAACATTTCTTATTTTCATTCTATATCACACCAAAAGTAACGATTGACTTGTTCTATGTTACTCTATGTCGCTTGCTGTTACTTTGTGCGATGGTACTCGGCGACTTTCCCTCTGGCGTGTTAGCCATGATGTAATAAAACCTGCTTGTAATAATACTTATAGTTTCATTAGTATTGTCTCTTTACCTCGTTAAATAATAACATGAGCGCGCAAACTCGCAATATCTTGCAGCATAAACTAGGAATGTCAATAAATATTATAAAAATCTTTTCTAACAATAAAAATCTGAGTAAGCGGGTTTGATTACATCAAGGAGGTTGTTATAATAAAAAACTTTTTTCTCTAACATTGCAATTATTACAACTACATGATAAATTCGCGATATTGAGAGATGTTGCCAGTAAACATATCTTTCGGCCTTTCTCTATGTTCCTATATTATAACAGTTCTATATACTAAGATAACAAATTAAAGCAAGTATTATCGAATCATTTGATTAATTGTTTGATTTGTTTTAGGCAAGGTGGGGGTGGACTATAATGTTTTACACAAGACGTTTTGCCGTAGACTAGATCTGGATTGACTTTTATTTTATAGATAAGGTTCATATTTAAAATCAGATAATTATTCTAAAATGTTCAATGTTAGCTTCTTCCTGGCTCTATTATATTTAAGTAGATGTGCTGTCTAAGTATTTATAAGTTAAGTATTTAACAATACTAAAATTCTGTCCTACTATCAATAAATGACAGAATTAAGTCTTTGAATGCCGGTAGAGTTGAAGACAAATCTTTCAAGGTTAAGTAGTAAATTTGTATTTGTAAAAGTAATTGTTAATTTATTTTAATATAGATTAACAAACTTGCTTCGAAACAGCAAAGCATAACTGATGCTATTGCTGCGATGCTCAGTGTTAATCTGAAATAGAGATTCTAACCAATACTATGTGAGCGTGCTTTTTACTTACGTACTTACTTCTTTTGACTTGCTAATGGTCCTATTAAGTCTGCGTTACATCGGTTGTAATTATGAGCCCCGGTTCGAGTTCGAAACTAGTCGAGTAATATCGAATACTTATTTTCACGCACACACACACATACCTACAATTAACAAAAAAAGTGAAGTTTTTGCCTGTTAGTCATTATTGCTCATAAAATAATGTAAATAGAAATCGGCAAAACGTCTTGAATAAAATACTATATTTAAAGGAAAAAAAACTTAAAAATATGAATACGATATCTGATTAGAATTTTGGTATAAACTTTGTGTGTTCATTTTATTCTTACACGATTATAGAAAATGTTCCATTTTTACTTAGTTATGATTAATATAGTTTTTCATATTATTATTATTACTTATGTGGGTGTATACAACTTGCGTATAAAACCTCCTTAAAGTTTCTTTCTCTTTCTTTTTATACGGTTTTAAAGTCAGTATTTGTTTTGATGGAATCTGTTAAGTGTTAAAAAAGATTTTTGAGTAAAGAAAAGTTTAGTAAATTTTATTTACTTATCTTCTGACTGTGTGTAAGTGATATTCTGTATACAAATATAAGATTAAAGAAATAAGTTTTAAACCCACGTTGTATAGCCCAAAATTCAAAGAGAAATAATTGTTTTCATTTAATACTATTAAAGAGAATCTACGCTTAGCGTTTATATACAGCGTGCCCTATTAACGAAACACGTTAAATACACCCTCGTGGTTATGAATACGGATTTAAATATCACCATGTATATAAGTAGGTTTTGTTTTAATAAAAAAATTGTATCAGGAACTTTCACTGTTATATTTTATACTGTTTTTAATTATTTTTTGTTTGTATTTTAAAAATATTTTAATTCTGATATCAGTACTTTTGTTTATGTATTGGTCTTTAGTAGAAGAAAATATATATTTCTAGAGAGCATATTATGAGATGAATAAATATGACACAGTAATTTTGGCGTAAAATATACCTTATTCTCATTGCCTTAAGGTTGAATTTCGTCATATTGAAAGTTACACAGATTCTTCTACGCCCTAACAGAGATATAACACGAAAATGAGCTCTATAGTTCTAATCAGAGAGCACATGTTTGCTTCAACATTTATCCTTATATAAATTAATTTTAAAAGTACTGATAGCAGCGCCAAACAGATCGCTTGCATTTTGGTAACAGATATTACGCGATCAATAATAATAATTATAATTAATAAAAGATTTGGAGTCAATTTACATTAGCGCATTCGAAGCGCATCGAAACCTCTTTCAAAACTGAACATAGCAAATTCAACCTTAACTCCATAGGGTCACGCACACATTACTTCTGAGTTTTAAAAGTCGCGCGGTATCTTCGGAACATATTCGCGTGAACAACTGAATACACATCTCAGAAGTAATATGTGCGTTACGCCGTGGTGTTAAAGTTGAATTTGTTAAGCTCAGTTTTAGATAGACACTTCGATGCATTTGGAACTTGTGCTAGTATAAATTGACCTTTAATAACAATTAATCTAAAAAATAATATCGACATCAAGTCAAACTTAGATATTTTTCGAAACATTTAGGCCTTCCATTCTGATTCTCGGCCCCAAATAGAATTAAAATTTCCACATTTATTTATAATAATTATGATACTTAATAGAGCAGAAAAACATTTTTTTTATACTTTTTATATTTTACCTAACACTACGGGTATAGTATTAAAGATATAAGAAACGATTAGATAGGTTCAATATCATTATTTCACATATACTCTGTCATCTAGGGCTGTGGCACGGTTTAAAAAGAAAAGAATAAATACTTTTTTAATATTTGAAAGAGTACGTGTTAAATAATGTATACTGAACTTGATTTGAAACCTCGCCAATCCCAATTTTATCTAAATATTCGTTCACTGTTTTCAATACTAAGAACATAGCGTAGAATTTTCTTGAACATATTCTTATTTAGTCGTCTATTATTATGTAGATAGTATTGAAAACAGCCCTCTATATAGGTTGTATATTTTCCTATCAAACTTTGTAGGATTCATCTAAATTGGATTAATTTGAGTCATACAAAAAGAAATTACAATGAGAACACACAATTAGTCACAAAATGTAGGGAAATGCTCGGAATATCAGTCATAAATTAAAACTAAAGGTTTTCGTTCAGATAATCCAACTTAGACTAATCCAATACCCTCGGTTCACCGTAATTTCGACTTTACTCCGTATATCACAAGGTGTTGTATCGAAATTTTAATACTTAGCTGCAATGAGTCTTCCGTTGTTGCTATCGCAGTTGTTTCTCCGTTCAGTTTGTGTACGACCTGTAATATAGAAATTACAATGTGTTTGTTTATTTGACCCTTTATACATATGCACTATGTTAGACCCGTAAAATGTGTATTAAAGGCAAAATGTACAAAGAAGCATCATACTCAATTTGAAATATTATTTTGTTGCACAAAACGTTGGGTCATTCATATCTATATCACAACAAACAAACTTTTTAATGTAAAAGTCAACTTCTTTAGCAAGCTGCAGTTTGTTTATTTGAACGCGTTAGGCTAAGGACTCACGGTGCGATTTTGTCCCCCCCGCCGCGTTTACGGACCAGCCTTTGTAGAATACAGATATGTGTGTAAAAAATCAGAGCAATTTCCACGGCGCGTTTTACGCCCGCGGCGAGCGCGGGAAAAGATCGCGCCGTGAGCCCTTAATTTCTGGAACTACTGGTTCGTTATTGAATATTTCTTTTAGTTCTTGGATAGTTCACTTATCGATGAAAGGCTATAAAACACGAAGCAGTGTTAAAGTAAAATAAACAATAGTATACTAACTGTACTCCGGTGGGCACGCGCGCCTCGCTGACGACGTAGTCGATGCGTTGTTGTAAGGTGGCGCGGGCGCGCAGGCCGGGGTGCAGGGACGACCACGGGGTCGGCCGCCATTTGAAGTCTGTGTACTCGTTCACTTCCTGAAATGTAATGGACTTCATTATGGTATGGTTGGTTTTATAGTCATTTGGTTTTGTTTGGTTTTAGATGTACGATAATTTTCAGAAGCAAGATTTTGGTGATCGAACTAACAATCCGTGCCAAACAATAAAATACTTTTACTATGCCATTCGTTTACGAAAATTGTCTACGAGTTAGAAATTTTCGTTCGTTCGTTCGAAAATGTTACACAATGGCGTCAGAAATTAAAATTAACACATTAAAGAATTGTACTTTCAAGATTTTCTGCTTTTTATCCCACGGCAACGCGGGCGAATCCGCTGGTAGAAACTAGTAAATAATATAAAACCGTTTAAAAACAGTAACTCACCTGTACATACTCCGGGTCGACAGGCGGAGGTTGGTCACCGCACAGGACTCGAATAGCTCCCTCCTCACTCAACTGTATCATGTTGTGGAACCGATCCTGCTTGTGGTATATAGCGGATATCTCCAATTGCATCAACCCTTTGCGCAGGCGCACGAAACCGAGCAAGTCGTATTGCCATACCCAGTAACCTGGTGGAAGTAGAATTAATTTAGCGATAGAAATTAATAGTCACAGTGTACTTGTGTAATTCTTATACGGGGATGTACGATTCGAGTCCTTAAACTGTCAAACACCGCGAGGACACTGGTGACCAAAAGTCAAAAGTCAAAAATCATTTATTTCAATTAGACCAGGAAGGCACTTTTGAACGTCAGCAATAGAAATTTAAAAATGAAGCTATTTGCTCATTCCAAGGTGTAGATTCCTATGGAGAAGAACGAGCAAGAAACTCCATAGGTTACTCTTTTCCAATCAGTTTCACAATACAATTCTTCAGTTACACAGTTTTATTGGTTTGATTGTGCGAGAACAATGTAACACCAAATCTAGCCAAAGAGATCGAAAAAGAAAATAACCCTTAAAGACAATAAATAATACAGTCTGGAGCTGACCAGTCACAGTTGACGGCGCCCGTTCACGAACATGACACGTACACCAGCACCGCCCAACTCAATCATATTGCAGGGAATCTAGCGACCCAATGCACGTGCCACCGCCAATTCGATCTTTGAGTGAACATGACAACTCCAAGCTGACATAAATGCATTCTACTAGTCCAATTTAATATTTAGTTAATTACAGGGCTGTCACATTAACAATGATTATGCAAGTTAAACCATATACATTTAAGCAACTACGTTGTAATATTTAGGTTGAATTTCATTGACACATCAATGTTTTTCGTTATCCCGTGGAGCTGGACCAGCGTGCATCCAAGCATTTTTATCTTCTATATAATCATTAATTTTGTAATATGCTTGTCTACATAAAGTTTTTTTTATACATAATTTAAACTTCATTTCATTTAGGTGCTGTATATCGCTTGGTATCTTGTTATAACATTTAACACAGAATCCCATGAACGATTTACCCACTTTCGCCAATCTCAAAATTGGCTGACTTAATCTATCCTTATGTCTAGTTTGATAGTGGTGTCTGTCCGACACTTTACCAAATAACTGTAGATTTTTCCTAACATACATAATTGTGTGACCGCAACCTATTGTTCTATAATTGTGTCTATAATGACGGTACTCAAAGAGTTAATAGGGTAGTCTCCTAGATTTTACTGGTAGATTAATTTAAAAAATTAGACACGTATTTTTTCTTTTTAACAAAACTAATTTATTCGACGATATTTATTTTGAAATATTGTGTGACGTCACAACGTGCCACATTTTGTACCACGTTGCGACGTCACAACCTCTCACTCCTAAACTTATTTCATTTTATCTAAGTATTGTAACTTTGTATGAGGAAATAAAAAATACGTATCTTAAATTTTTTCATTATGTACCTGACGTGCTAATTAGATTATTAATGCTGTATGCTCGTTCCCTACAGCATGTAGATACAAATGTAGATTCGAATGGAGAAGAACGAACAAAAAACTCCATTCGTTTACTCTTGTAAAAAACTATGTTCTCACATATGTACAATATTTATCATCTCTGATATGTAAAGATATTGTTCTTGACAGTTAAAAAAAAGTATTGAATTAGACTAGTCGTAAGTACCCAATTAAGTTACACTTACCATGTATGGCGAGTCGTTGTAGATGCATGCACTGCCAACACAGAAGTACGAACGGGTTCACGTGCGCGTACGTGTCCGGCTGGGGAATGCAAGGAACATTATTAGAATAAGTGTTGATTTCTTATCCAATCTGGAGTTTATTCATTATGATTTTTAGAGGTAAACAAACACAAAGTAACACCGTCTTTTTAATAGTTCTTTTGAGTTCTATATAATACAGTCAAAGTCAAAGCATTTATTTCAATTAAACTGTCAAACACCAAGCGGTCACCGGTGACCGCGACCTATTGTTCTTTAACTCGTCGAGTACCGGTTTTATAGACACAATTAAAGAACAATAGGTCGCGGTCACCGGTGACCGCTTGGTGTTTGACAGATTAATTGTGTCTATAAAACCGGTACTCGACGAGTTAAACCATAGTTTGGTACTTTTGAAACGTCAACAAATACAATATAAATAATACATAGTCTGTCAGTCAGTCCGTCAGTGAAACTAGGTGAAGCTAGGTGCTAGGTGAAGCTAGCTAATAGGGGGTAAGGATCAATTTTCCACTATGCTGTAGCACAGTAATAACTGAGACATGTAATAATGCACGACTAGGAGTCGAATTCGGAAAAAAAATACTTCATGTAGACTTTTTACATCCCTCTATACTTTGCAGTTTCAAACAAAAAGTGCTTTAATTGATCCAAATTCTAGTCTAGTAACGAATCCGTATTTATAACCATTGCTTCGTTCTGTACTCTCAAACTAATAGTTGTAGTGTGTGTAGTGTCCATTTACTGAATCAATCTTTACTTTCTTACCTGTGTGCCCAATAACTTGGCTAACTGATAACTTTAATATGTAACAAATAAATTCATTATGGATATACCTGTGCCTGTCGCAATGGTCTGACGACGCGATGGTAAGGGTCTGAAGAGTCGTACGGACAGTCTGCCCAGATCACTTCCTGCAGAGTATTCTGATACAGACGCGATATGTGAGACAGTAGGGGCGTGTATAGCTGGAACAAATTGTGTAGTTTGTTTATTCACTTCCCGTTGAAATTCATTACCTAAATTTGTTCATACAAAAGTAGTCTCTAAGCATTGGAAATAAGGTCTATAATGTAGTTAGTGGAGAGCGGTCACCGGTGACCGCTTGGGGATCTATGGGTTAAAGTTATAAATGGTAAAGATTTTATTGTTTCTACATTTAGTAGTCTGGGAAAGAATTGAAACAAAATATTTCACGCAACAACGCCAATTTTGCACCTGTATAAGTAGGGAATGATACCCATCTTTAGTCGAATTTATATAAAAATACTATTGGAATGCTTACTTTCCAGGGAGTAACAAAGGTTAGGTTTAATTCCGATATTTCAGGTTATGATTCAACTCTGTCGATAGCTATACGCAAAAAAATGAGTAAGTATATAAAAAAATATATACAAACGTGTTAACTGTTGAGTGCAAATAAAAATACTCACAGACTTGCAGAACATAACTTTGAGCGATATAAGTCGGAGGCCCTCCACTAGAACATTCTGCATTATGTCCTCGAACCTCCTGTATGGCACGGCGATCTGAAACAATGGCATAACATACATCATTTTACTTACTACGAGTTGTTCATATAACAGTTACATTTTTAATCATTTAAAATGTAAGAGAGCTACTCAGTTCGGCCTGAATGGGTCACATAGACCGGAGTGAAACCACGACCTCATAGTAAATAGTTGCGTTGTATTTCGTCGTGTGAGTGAGGTCACTGAAAACCTATGGTTACCTAAAACGCTGGTCGAGTGGTCGCATGTGCGACTGCCGGGCAAGGGGTATCGAGTTCTATTTCCGGGACGGGCATAGTAATACGGTATAATTATAGGAATAGGCTCACCCCTTTTTACATGGTATGCATAACATAAATAGTGAAAAGTGGGAGTTACATTGTACAGTGGCATTAAGTGCTGTAATGCGCACCTCTACCTACACCTTCGGGGATAAAAGGCGTAATGTTATGTATTTTATAAAGTAGTAAAGACAGGCAACTTACAATATTAACGGTGACTCTGAGCGAGTACTTGTAGAAGTCGTGCATGGTCTCCCAGTCGATACGCTGCAGCGCTGGCTTCCTGTTCGTGATGTTCAGAGTCAGGTAACGGAAGCTCTTCAGCTGGGACAAGGTGATCAAAGACGACGTACTCAGTTGCTCGTAGTCCACTATTAAATGCTGTAATTAAGCAATTTGGATGTTAAAAATCACTTCCATTGATTTGACGAATTTAATCTTTAGAAATATTTGACGCTATATTTTGCAGAACCAGATTTCAAACAACCGATTTTTTGTTACTTAATCATAAACTGATGTAGCTCCATAAAGTCTACACTCAAATTGCGATGGTTTAAAGTAGTTGTCCGGCCGGAGTTTTGGACTTATTTTAATAAATTTATTTAGAGGAATTTTACAAAGGAGCGGCTTTAAATCTAATTAAATAGTCACCATGAATGAAATACCGAGGTTCGGGCTCGGAAGTCAGTATCTGACTGTCAGTCAGTTATATCGTGGTGGCCCAGAGGTTTAAGACGCCCGCTTCTCAAGTATGTGGTTCAAAATCTACCAACGGCAAGTATCACGTATCAAGATTATCTAGACACTGACCAACGGTGAAGGAAAACATCGTGACGAAATCTGGGCTTATAATTTCTAATTATAAGTTTGTAATCGCCAACCCGCATTGAGTAAGCGTGGTGAATAATGCTCAAGCCTTCTTAGAAGAGGCTTTGCTTAGCAGTGGGCATTTATAAGCTGTTTATGATGATGATGGGATTTAGTGAGTAAGAGTCTGGCAGTATATCACGGGAAACAATACATGTTTGTACTTACAGTGATAGTAGAATATCGCATCAGATGTTGGTTGGTGCTGCTTAGGATGGTGTCGGCCATCGCGAGAATGGTATTAAACTTCAGCGGACGGGAGTAGTACTCTACTTGCTTGTTCTAGAATAAGAAATAATTTTATTTAACTAATTGTAATATACGACTTGCTCACGGAAATGTATGTAAAATAGCTCTACTCGTTTCAATACAAATCGGAACTCATATTTATGAGCAACGTAAATTCGCGAAAGCTCCGTATACCTAGTTGCCAGTACTTGGGACTTCTATTCATGAACAACCGTACATTTCCATTGATTTATGTCCAAATATTCAAACGTCACTCAATTTGAAGTAGCGGTTAAGTATAGTTCTGTCGCTACAAACTCTTTGTAAAATGACAGAGATGGCATGGTATTTAAGTACAAGATAAAATTTAGTAGCATTTCAGTATTCAGGCTTTAGTATGTGCTTAGATAGTTATAACACAAATGCAGCTTAAACTTTACAGTTCAATATACTAAGTACATATTATACGCTAATGTTAGTAATAGTAATGGTCTCGGGTTCGATTCCTGGGTCGGGCAAAATTTTACTGATCTTTTTCAAAAAATCTCAGTAGTAGCACGGAGTTTGGAATTGTGCGGGCACAATTCCACTATAACATGGGACTCATAACATAAATAGTGAAAAGTGGGTGTTACATTGTACAGTGGCATTAAGTGCCGTACCTCTGTCTACCCCTTTGGGGATAAAAGGCGTGATGTTATATATTTGTCACCTTGTGAAGAATTAAAGAGAAAACTACGTTATTTCTAAGCAAAAATTCGCGGTATAATGAGAGTATGATAGAAAGGGATGATAACAAAGCAAATATGAAAATATTGTATAGAAACCACATGATGAGAAATAGAATGTATGACGTAATGTCTGGCAGGAGAACAAAAGGATGAAAAGAGATATTATACCTAGTTTAGGTAACTTGATATGAAGTCAGGTAAAATAAAAGCTTATTTTCAAAAGACCTTTTAGTGTTCAGCAGAATGTAGGAGTGAAATGTTAAGAGCTATTGTTTCGTTGTTCGTGGCTATTTCTAGAACTTAAGGCTAATGGGAATGTCTCTCAATGTATTGTAGGATATGAGAAGGCATGTATGAAATGAGAGCGCCCTAGACGACATATACTGACCAGAGATAGGCGATATATTAACCTCTTATCTGACGGCATATGAGACACAATAGAAAACACATTGTGTCTCGCGTATATCTACGTTCCCGGCATAAAGAAAAGAAGGGCAAGGTTAAGCCCGGGTTACAAGTGACAGAACTATATTTAAGCATGACTTAAATCAAGTAGCATTTGAGTGTTTCAGCGTAAGTGAATAGAAACACATTTAAGATGAAACTGCAGTGAATGGTAACCTTAATACTAACAGAACAAGTTTGTATGGCATTGATAGCAAAGGTTAAACTTTTAAATGGCAGCGAACTGACGCAAAAGGAAGAAAGCGCTTCCTTAACGCATCTGACGTTTGATTTTGCACCTTTTTACTGATGATAAAGGTTACATTTAGATCGTCATATTACATATACGACGTTACAGTTATCTATACTGAATCATTTATGAAATACTATAACCACTTTACGCAATGATTTATTGTAGTAAAACAATCGTTAGACACATTGAGCAAATTCGATTTTAACGACATAATTTACTCAAGTAACAGTCCTACAAGGTTACTCGACTGGTTTCAAGCTACACCATAGTCCTAAAAGCTTTGACTCGAAAGTAATCGAGTAACTTCATCGATATATTATCGTAAGTCGTAAATAATTGTTTACCCGTATGAACACTAGGATACTCTAAGATTAAAATAAATGTTATATTATTGTCAAACTGAAGAGTTTGTTGGTTAGTTCGTTTGTTTGAATGCACTAATCTCAGGAACTACTAGTCCGATTTGAATAATTCTTTTTGTGTTGCATAGTCCATTTATCGAGGAAGAGTATAGACTATAGAACATTACGCTACGATCAATAGGAGCCGAGCAATACGGGTGAAATCGCGCAGAAGTAGCTAGAAAATATTAATAATAATAATACGTACGCTGTATCTCTCGTTTTCATTCTTGACTGCAGCCATCCCGCATCCCATGAAGCCCAACTTCTTCAGGCTCTGTATGTTCTTGTACACCAGACTCTCGATTTGTACCCGGCTAAAAAAAAATTGTAAGCCACGTGAAGACAAGACAGCAAAGAAGAATACTTTTATCACCATCTATACTCTAAGGTCCAATAATGAGTTTAAACATTTGAGAAACTCCAGAACAAACTCCTGCAGAGACTACAGAACATTAACTCGTTGAGTACCGTCATTATAGACACAATTAAAGAACAATAGGTTGCGGTCACCGGTGTCCTCGCGGTGTTTGAGAGTTTAATACCGATTTTAGAAGAGGTTGCTTTCAGTATGCGTCGCGGAACCGTAGCGCACGGTTGATTTTACCGACCCGCTGTTGTGTTTATTACTTACTTCCGCGAATAGTTTTTCTAGATAAATTTTAGTTTAAACTTTTTACAACCTAAAATGGAGAGTGGAGAAGACGAAGATGGAAATGATATAGAAATATTACTAAATTGTGAAAAAGACTATGACGAATCTTTGGACCCAAAAATTACGCGAGTTGAAATACATAAAGAAAGTGAAAAGAAAACGCCTGAGAAGAGAAAAGAGAGAGAAGATGATCTTAATGATGAAGATGACTTTATTACTGTGAATAGGAGAAAGAATAAAATATTAATTAGAAGTAACTCTGCAGGGTCACAAAATCAGTTGAGGGTAGATTCGGAAAAAAAAGATGATGAAATGAACAACTTGGCAAGTTTTGAGGTGTGTGTAACTTCCTTAGAAAACTTACCTAAACAAATGGCATTTGCCCGATTATTGAGATGTGAAAATATTAAGAATGTTACAAGAATAAAATATAAAAGTGTTAACAAAGTTTTAATTCAGTTTCAAGAAAAAGAAGATGCCACTAAATTAATGGAATGTCAAAAATTTAAAGATATGGGATGGAGATGCCAACTACTAAATGAGATGACCCTATCCTACGGGGTAGTGAAAGGGGTGGATCTAGAATTAAAAGAAAAGGATATAATGGATATATTGGAATGCAGTACAGAGATAGTATCAGTCAAAAGACTGAGACGCTTTAATTCTGAGAATAAATGGATCGATTGTGAGTCTATAAGAGTATGTTTTAGAAGTAATAATCTCCCATCACATATTTACGCATATGATTGCCGTTTAAAAGTTGACCCCTACGTGTTCCCCGTAACACAGTGCTCTGGATGTTGGCAATTCGGACATGTCCTAAAATACTGTCCTACAAAGAAAAAAATATGTCCTAAATGTGGTGGAAACCACGCAAATTGCGATATAAGTAATATTTCGTGCTTAAACTGTAAAGGAAATCACTTTGTGCTAGACAAAAAATGCCCTCTATATTTGAAAGAAAAGGATATAAGAAATATCATGAGTACAGAGCAGGTACCCTACAGAAAAGCACTTCAACTGCTTCTTGGTAAACAACAAGAGACAACTATTTCTCAAAATGCAATGCAAAAGTCATCGCTTCCTACAAACCCACTAAACGAATCTCAAACATATAGCAGCGTGCTTACCAAGACACTACAAAAACGCAGACCGGAGAAGCCTTCACACATTATTCAGGAGAAGGAAGGAAGTGACGTACAATGGCAACAAAACACCACAAATAAGTCATTTGAGAAAAAAACAAACAAACATATGCAAAGCAAGAAAAACCAATCTCGGACAGATAGAACAACGGAAAAATATAATTATGAGAGTTTTTCATCACAATCTGAAGACAAAGACAGTCAAAAAGATAAAGAATTACTTGAAAGATTTGAATTGAAGAAATTTCTAATTATAATTAATAGAATATTTACATCAGAAGGGACATTTGAAGAAAAGATATTGTTGTTGTTTAAAAACATATTTGAAGAGCTAAAGAAATTTGTATTCAATCTTTTGCTAAAAGGAAACTGGTTAGATAACATTATTGAATTTATAAATGCATAATACAAACAAAAATATAGGCATCAACATTATCCAATGGAACTCGCAATCTCTGAGGCCCAAAATGATTTCATTTACAGAGCTATTAAATAAAGAAAAAATTCATATAGCGATCCTAAGCGAAACATGGCTAGACAGTGAATTTGACTTAAACGTAAGTGGCTATAACATCTATCGAAAAGACAGATATGATTCTTACGGCGGTGTTGCTATTTTCATTCATAAATCCATCCGGTCACATTCAAATTTTTTTCAGGTTTTGAATTCAGGTATAGAAGTGATAAGTGCTAAGTTGATCAATTGTAAAGATTTAGAATATATCGTTGCAGTTTATTGTCCATCTTCAGTTGTAACACAACCTTCGGACTGGGAACAAATTTTCTCTCTTTTCCCAAATAAAACTTTAATAGCCGGTGACTTCAATGGTCATCACTCTAACTGGTCTATCAAAACAGATATCAGAGGAACTCAAATACTGGATTCGTCGCTTGAAAATTCCTTCTTTTCACTTAATAGTTGCTCACCAACCAGAATTAAACTAGTTAATGGTACATTGCAAAAAACGTCACCGGATATATCATTTGCTACTTCTGATATCGCAATCAAATTCGGTTGGAAAGTACTCAATGAAAACCTAGGTAGTGATCACCTGATAATTAAAATGACAATCACAATACCGGATGATTACCGATACATAGGAAAAGGAACTACAAAAAGGCAGATTGGAAGGAGTATAGAGAATTTCTATCTAAAACTTTTAGTGTGCAGTATGATGACATCAATATTCAAAGTACGTACGACTTTTTTATACATCAAATAAATCTGGCAGCTGATAAATATATTCCATTCAATAAATATAGTTCTAAACCCACAAAAGAATTCAAACCAAAAGATTACTGGACACCTGAATTGTCCCACCTTGTTGCACAACGAAGGTTATGTCTAGCCAAGTTCCGCCGTAATCCAACCCCTGATAACTTGTCCAAATTGGAAGCTAAAATTAAAGAATTTCATATTGCAAGTCAGAAGGCGAAATCATTGGGTTGGCAGAGATTTTGTGATTCTGTTGACCATACAGTATCTGTTTATGATATGTGGCGGCGTATGCGGTGGATGAAGGGTTATAAACAATCTGCCATCTATCCTCCTATCGATAAACAAAACGAGCTACTAAAATCACTGACTCCTGACTATGTAACAAACAAAAGACCTGTATTTGTATCTAGAAATGAAACTTTAGAGTGTGATTTTGATATCCAGGAATTAAAAACTAGTTTGAAAAAAAAAGATTCGGCACCTGGTGAGGATGGTATTTCCTATTCCATGATTTATAATCTTCCCAACCCAGCAAAAGCTTATTTACTACATATATATAATAAAATCTTTGCTTCAGGCGTTGTACCTATTCAGTGGCGTAACATACAGATAATACCTATTCCTAAAGCAAAAAATACAACATCTGACCCTAAATTAAGACCCATATCCCTAATTTCATGTTTATGCAAAATATTCCATTTAATGTTAGTAAAACGTCTAGAATGGTACATTGAGAGAAGAAATATTTTATCACCACTCAATATTGGATTTAGAAAATCATTGTCTTGTTTAGATTCTTTAAGTCGCCTAATTACATATATACAGAATGGCTTTTCTAAAAACTTACCTACGTTAGCTTGTTTCCTGGATATTCAAAATGCATATAATAATGTATCAGTTGATGTAGTAGGCAAAGTTTTAGATGAACTTCAAGTTGGATCAAAATTTTGTAATTATATATGGTCTTTTTTGAATGAGAGACATTTAAAACTTAAAACAGAATTCAGTGATTTAATAACAGATCGATGGAGTAATAAAGGTTTAGCGCAAGGAGACCCTTTATCCCCGCTACTATTTAATTTAATTACATACAAAATATGTCAATCACGTCTTAATCCTGTAGTAATATCACAATATGCTGATGATTTCGTAATATATGTTAAAGATAAGGATATCATGAAATGCGCAATGAATATTCAAAACACATTAGATCATATTGTCGTGTCATTAGCCGAACTTGGTCTTGAACTATCTACCAATAAGACTACATATTGTGTGTTTAGCAGGGGTAAACGTAGAATACAACCTTGTCTTAAAATAAATGAAGAGTCTATACCATTTTCACCATGCACTAAATATCTTGGTATGTGGTTGGACCAAAGTTTACGCTGGAGTAAACACATAAATGAAACAATCGCGAAATGCTCTAAATTTCTGAATATATTAAAGCTATTAACTGGGAGCACTTGGGGTATACATATTAAACATATACGTAAATTATACATCTCATTAATTAGAAGCCGACTGGATTATGGTTCGTTTCTATATGACTGCAGTGCCAATGCACATTTATCGAAACTTGACAAACTGCAAAATCAGGCCTTACGAATCATAGGAGGTTATATTAAAAGCTCCCCTATTCACGTAATGGAATCAGATTTATGTATCCCACCTTTATTTTTGAGAAGAAAATATTTAGCATACAAATTTTGTCTAAAAAGCCGATCGTGGTCAAATAATGTCACAATTGATCTTGTATCCAATCTGAGTAATTTATGTCGTACTTCTTATTGGCAAAATAAAAAAATACCATTGCTTGTTGAAGTGTATAATGACGTCAGACATTTGGAAATTACAGCATCAGAATATTTAAAAATGTTTAGCCTAGAAATTTGGACATCCATTAATACAAAAAATATTAAAATTAAACTCAAAAGTTTAAGCACTGCTAAACGTAATTACAACCAAAATATGTTGCTGAATGAGATTATAGCAGAACTGAATACGTTATATTTCGGATGGCATAAAATTTACACTGACGCATCTAAAAGCCCCCAGGGACAAGGAGCGGGGATATTTGACCAGAGCTTAGGCAACAGATTTGGATATAAAATTAAATGTGATGTATCCATTATGTCGCTGGAACTCATAGCAATCTACAAAGCACTTAATTACGTCTTGAATAAAAATTTGAATAAAGCAGTAATTTTTTCAGATAGTAAAAGCGCACTCCAACATATTGCTCGATGCGCCTCTGGCTACAGCAGAGGTACTTCGATAGCATATGATATTCTAAAAGTTATAACGATACTGAAAAATAATGATATTGAATGTAGATTGCAGTGGGTTCCAGCACATATTGGACTTAACGGAAACGAGGAGGCCGACCGTATATCCAGGTCGGCAGTGGTAGAGGGATGTATAATTAATTACGTACCTGATTATTGGGAATATACAAGTAAATACAAACTCACATGCTTTAATTTGTGGAAAAGTCATTTTTTCAAATTATCTATGGATAAAGGTATTTGGTACAAAAGCATCCAAGGTCGGCCTAATCGTGTTCCTTGGTTTGAGAATACTAATTTGGATAGAAACTATGTTAGATTAATATTAAGACTCCGTTCGGGACACTATCCATCGGCGAAGTTTGCATTTCTTATGAAAAAGACCGATTCTCCTAACTGTACACTTTGTGGTCAAATTGAAGATGTCCAACATTTGCTGATGGAGTGTGCTCGGAATGGAGAAGAACGTGAGATATTCGTGAAGGATTTTAAAATAAATAAATTCGATGTAGGCATTATACAATCCATTTTATCTGTACCATCTTCAGCGATTATGAAAAAGTTGTGCTATTTGATTTTGGTCCTCCACGGATAACAATTAATCAAGTGAGTCAATGTTAAGTACGTAAAGTAATGTAAAGGGTACGATGGGGCTGACATATCTGTGATAAAAGCCCCTAAATAGTTTGTTAGAATAAAAAAAAAAAAAAAAAGAGGTTGCTTTACTTGGCCCTTTGTCATATCATCAATTTTATAATGTTACATCGGAAGAGGTAAAACAAAAAAAAACCTTTAATCCAAAAACTAATATTAGGTAGAAACAAACAGAAGACTGCCTCGTTGACCGCAAGTGTGACTGCCGGGCAAGGGGTCTCGGGTTCGATTCCCGGGTCGGGCAATGTATTACTGGGTTTTTAAAAACATTCTCAGTAGTAGCACGGAGTCTGGAATTGGAATTGTGCCCGGTATATGGCAATAGGCTCACCCGTAAGTGCCGTAATGTGCACTACTGCCTCCCCTTTCGGGCCGAAAAGGCGTGATGTTATGAAATTAATTTATATACAAACAGAAACAGCTACAAATAAAACTAAAATCCCTTACCTCTTCAGTTTAATAAATGGCACATGGTTACTCAATTGCATGTAGCTTGGTCCAATGAATAATATCTCCTCGAGATTCGGTGAGTCGAAAAATCTGGAACAAAATACATATATATTAATAGTATTCATACACAATAACAACAGGTGAAATATGTGAAAGGAATGAAGGAAGGAAGGAAGGAAAAGAATATTAGGTAGTGAATCGTTGATATGTTTACAATTTGGTCCTCAAGAGTCAGAGGAAAACTTTACGATTGCGTATTACTATTGTAAACATTTAAAGAATAGCAGCACTATAACATTAAAACGTTATAATAATAAATAAATTAATTAAGTTTTTTTTTATTGAATACGAGGTAAACGAGCTGACGGATCACCTGATGGTAAGCGATCAGCGCCGCCCATGGACACCCACAACACTAGAGGTGCGTTGCCGGCCTTTTAACCCGGCGTCATTGTGGCGGAAAAAAGTTACACTAACGTTGAAGTGGGTCATTATGACCCTGTTGCAATTGTTACTATTTTACCTAGTATAAAATGATTTGTAATTTTTTTTATTCGATATTTATAATATATAAGTGTATATATAATCAGTAGCAACAATAAAACACATTGGTAATAAATGAAGTAATTTTTATTTTTAACTTTCAATAAGACTATTAATTATACAATAAAAATTTAACTCTCTTCTAAGTTTTTTTTTTATCAACAAAAAACAATATGGTTTCTTACAAAAATATACTTAAATTAAATTTATACTACCTAATCTCTCTATCTTTGGAATATTAATCACAAAAATATCAGGAACTTTCGAATAATCAGTCTTTTTTAATTAGACTTTCACTGCAGTTTTTACAATAAGAGACTACGTGTTGAGGGCATATAAACTTATGGCAAGTATTACATATGTGATTTGTCTTTCTATCTTTTTTGTAGGGACAATCTTGACACCTTCTTCGAACACCAGTGAGCTTTGCAGGAGGTTCTCCAGAGGTTTCTCCAGTAAATTCTATCATTCTTTTGCGCATTTCCCTAGGAAGATTTATTGAATCTTTGCGTAAAGTACAGCAAATTATCCGGTATAAAAAGTTGCCAACATTCTAATTCCGATTTAGCCGTCTTTGCTTCTTGAGCTACTCCAGGCTGCTGTGTAATAATATTCTCGCTTCGAGTGCGGACATTTTGCCGGAAAGGAGTTTTGTACCATTTAGTACCATCTTTCCCACTATAAAAAGAATTTCGCACCTGTTGGTCTGACGATTCTACTATGTCATCACTTGAATTGAATTGACGTAATTGTTGCAGTGGAATGTTTTCTTCACTGTCACTAATTTCTTGATCAGTATTACTTTCCTGACTACGAACACTAACATGATCTTCGTTTTCCGAATCAGATGCACGAGGTTCATTGTCACTATCTGAAGATTCTTCAAGTATCGCTACGATTCGACGACGCTCACGTTCTTCCGGGTCCATATTAGATAGTTATCTAAAAATAAAGTAGCGTAAATAAGCAAAACTAAATAAAATATTAAAAAAATATATGGCACAAAGCAGCAACGTCGCCGTTGAGCTGGGTCATAATTACCCGGTCGCAGGTTCACACACGTGTTGCTCCTTGCTCGAGCGATGGACGACTAAAGTGAGGTACACGAAGGGTGAGGGTGATACTTAGCTGCAGCTACTGAGACAGACGGTTGTGTGCGGCAATTATTTCTAAGAAATTTTTCGTATGTAAAACGTGCAGGGTCATATTGACCCTGCCTCAATAACGCCGGGTTAAAAAGGAATACGCTCTTTTCTTGAAGGTTTGAAGGTCGTATCGGTTCGGAAATACCGGCGGCGATAGATAATTCCACAGTTTTGTTGTGGCCTGCCAACCATCTATATAGTGGGGTTGCATATGCTGTCGTGAGGGTCGATGGCGAAAAGATGCGGCAGGTATCAGGTCAAACAATTCCTCAGAGCACTCCCCGTGGTATAAACGATAAAAATGCACAACGAAGCTACATCTCTGTGCATTGCCAAAGTATCTAGCCGGTTTGAAACATCCCGACATCGAACAATCTGAACGGTACAGTATCAACAAAACGTCTACATCTGTAACTATAACTACTTATAAAGTAACATTACATTACATTCACTTAAACAGCAATTTCTGAAGTAAATATGTTACGGTTTGTTGATTGAAAGCACTGCCCACTGAATGGTAAACGTAAACGGCATTCTTTATCTTTAATTCATAGTTTTATAACATGCTATTTGCATGTTTCATAACTATACACAACATTGTATAACGTTTTACTATAGCGAAGTAAGGTTTACTCGCGGTTTTGCTTGCGAATTTCCCGCTACAGGTAGCTAGCTCATGTCTCTCCACGTACTCGATATTAAGTATATTATCAGTGGCGTAACTACAGGGTGGTAAGTGGGCAAAATGTAACCGGCCTCCAGCTGGAGAAGAGGCTCCGTTCAGAGGTTTCTATATAGGAAAGAAAGAATGAAAAGAAAAACCATTTATTACGCCAGGCCACACACGACAATACAAGAACACACAAGAAGAAGTTTATGGTGCGTCGCAGCGCAAAAATCCAGAACGCAGCTTAATACTGTGACCCGGGCAGGCTCGAGTCCACAGCGCTGATTTTCAGCACCAGCCTATACAGTTCCATAACGGGGCCTACCGCACCTCGGCCCGCCAGATGGCGCCAGCGTGAACTTGTCTTTCTTCGTCCGATAGGAACTATCAATAGGGTTATCTGAACTTCTCCATTTATATTGAGAACGGGGCCCATCCGATGAATTTGCCACGGGTCCCGAACGGAATAATTACTCACTGTAGGTATATTATGTATGCCCAATTACCGAAATATTACCGCAAGTTTGTGGTAAGATTGAGGATTGTTTCTTCCGTCATACTCACATCCCCAAAATACCGGCAACGTACTTGTACGCATCTTTGGTATCACGAATGTAAATTGAAAATGCTAAATTTGAAATCAATTGATTGAGTAAATAAAGCAAAAAGAGGAAACAATCAAACTTACTTTACCATCAATAACAAGTCGTAGCGAATGCATTCACCTTTCAATGATAAGAGCATTTTATATGGACACTAATATCTAATATCCTGTCTCGCAAACCGGGTTGCAATTGCATCTAAAGAGGATGATAATCTGTTTCAATTACTGGCTTGGATATCGAGAAAGTGCCATCCGGTTATCCTGTTTAGTGGCAGTATATATCTGAATGAGGCTGATAGAACATGATATCTGTCTATGTCTCGGACTCTTAGTATCACCGAGCATAAACATTCACGAACTTATCCAAGCTTAGGTCATTAAAAGAAATTATTCCGTCTTAGAAACCTACGACCTAGTATTAAAGTACAGTAAGGATTACACAACACTAATAAGCGGCAAAAACTAATAAGAATCCACTTCCTCGGCACGCCTTTAACTTACGTGAAGTGAAAAGTTTGACTACTTATACGAAAATACGAATGCATCGTTGCTACTTGCGACCAGTCTCCATAACCAATCTCTCTGTAAAATTCTCTTGTAATCTGCTTGAGATAGAATTAGACACAAACACACACACATTCACACTTCGGGTGGTTTGTATATCAAAATTCTATTTCAGGCAGTAGTTGATCCTTATCCAAAATCTCTGGATCGAACTAAGTTTTTGACAGAATCTTTATCCTTACTATCCTTACTAATATTATAAATCGGAAAGTGAGTTTGTTTGTTTTTTCCGCTTTCACGCCGTAACTACTAAACCGATTGCTTTGAATTTTTGCAGACGTAAAGTTAGAAGTCTGGATTAAATAATAGGGTACCTACCCTATTATTTAATCCAGATTTTTTTTCCGGGATAATAAGTACCTACTTATTATCCCGGAAAAAAAATATATTCTCGAGGGAAAACGAAATTATTGGTATATGTCACATAGGCTAGTTTTTATCCTTTTGTGACGCGAGCGAAGCCGCGGGTAAAAGCTAGTTTCATATAACTACATACTAATATCAAAAATTTATCTCATTCCAAAGGATTGAAATCGATTAGTACTTTCGGCCGTAGTACTAATAAATAGGTTATCGATTATGGCTGTTGGACATTCGCCGTTTAAAAGCAGCTCCAAATAACAGTTTGCGACTTAAACATTATGTATGTATGCAGACCAAGAGCAGAGTTTTGGAAAGTTTACGTATGACGCTGTATCGTTAAGTAGCTACCGATTACGTTTGTCTCTGATACATTTTAATGCCCACTTAAAAGGGAAACGTTTGTTTGAGGAGACGACCTAGATATTAGAAGGACTGTCAACTGTCAGTGACAATATTTGGGGATTTGCGTCGTTGTAGTGGCGGTAGTGTAGTTTAAGATCTCTGTTGGTCTTGGTCAAACAATGTATTTATTTTTATTTAGGTATGCCACATTTTTTACATTTACGCAAATAGACGATCCACCTCTCTCATTTCTGCTCAGTAAAATTTTAATGTAATGACTCTTAGGAATATTGCAATAAAAGTTTGAGCACTTTCATCACTTCTTATTGTGTAATCTAACATTTATTCCACAACATCATTTTCAGGTTCCCTTTTTGGTACAAAGGCAACTAAATATTTATAATTCCAGTCTTATTACAATTTTAGTACAACGCAGAAAGCTACTAAAGTATTTTCTTGTTAGGAATCGGAGCGCAAAATCCAAGAGGCGTAGCCTTTGGAACCTAATACCTTTATCCCTCATTATATGACTGTGCTAAGTATAGTAAATTAGAACAGGGTTTCTCTGCAGACATTACAAGCATTACGATAAATAATAAATTTCTCATTAATGCGAGGCGCTTCGCAAATCCCGGGCACAATATCGAACGGCGCGACGCTTAAACTCCTGGTACATTTACTTCGACCCTGGGCCGACCTTCTCAACGCAAAGTATTGTTGTTTGTTGTATTATTAAACAACAATAAAGCATGGATCCTGCGTTCAATGTGAAAGGTCTACTTATTATTCGCAAGCAAAGTTTGTTTGTGTTAAAATGTCATGGTTGACAAAAGCATAACCCTTTTACAAATACATAAAATAAAGAGAAAAAAAAATCATGATTTAAAGTAGTATTTAGGAGTGGAACGAAGCAATCAAATTTACAAATGCAAAAAGATATGGTCTGTTTGCAGAATTAAAAGATTAATACAAAACAAACATCATACGATTAACTATACAAACAATAAAGCTAGGCTGTCACTACATATTATAACAGACAGCGTACACAAAGACCAAAAACCACTTTCGAAATTGGTCCTTCAGTCGACATAATTGGTCCTACGCTCCTACCGCTTCCGTGCGACAGATCACACGAGAAAGTGAACTGAATAAATGGAGCAGGTTTATTTATTTTGAATCAACATTACGAGATGGTTTCGTAAACATTATATTGTGCTATGCGTACCAATGTCATTGTTACATCACTTGGACGTCGACGGCGCTACGCGACCAACTGTATTGATTAAACACGTTCTAATGTAAGTCTCAATCGATGCAGGTTTAGACTGATATCGACTGTCTTCGCTGTATGCAAACGTAACTACTAATATTGCGTTGTATAGCTATTTCAATTCAAGTCAATCATACATACATGGCGTTCGCATGACTGGGCAGTTTATTTCTTAAGGCTTATCATATGATTACAAATATGTTTGGTTTCATACTTATGAGGTTTTAGTTTTATTTTAAACAGCTTCGGCGGCAGAGAAACCTAACTACCTTAAGACATGATGAGTAACACATAACATGATGAGTAATATTTAGTAAACATCCCAAAATAGCTCCAGATAGTCTCCAGATAAAAACAAAATTGCCAAATTCAGTATAGCCTCCACAAGTCCCTTACTGCCTACGACTTCGTTATTAAATCCACCAGATATTTATATCACACCAAAAATATCGGCGAGATTTTATCACTCCGAATCCATCTTGAAACTTTCCAAGCGTCTAAATCAGTCAAATGTCAACTCTATAATCCAGATTGAATTTACGTGAAAAGTTATTTAATCACAGTGAGATTACGTTATCATTTTGAATGAACCCTTACGGAGCGTAGGTGCGCTTGTACCGAGGTCTATTTATAGGCTAGACGGGACCTAAAATCGATATTGCAAGACCGGCAGGTACCTCGTATTACTGAGAGCATTTTAAGGTCACGGGCACATTGGGAGACTCAAAGGTTATTTCGCATTGTTCAGTATTCAATCATTTCATGCAATGGTTATAATTCGTGATTGCCCATTTTTTATTGTGATTGACAATCCCATTTTTTACAATAGGCTGTCATCTATGCTCATATCGAAGCAAAGCAAATTATTAGTAGGACATACCTATGTGAATTATCGTACTGAGATCTATAACACGTGTATGGTACAGGAAATCAATTGTAGTCTACAAACTGAATGTGCCACTCGTACCTATATCAGAGGATCGCTCATCCATAACGTTAACTATACCATCAACGTGATAGATTCATACTGAATTATGCACTCAAAGGACTAAGTATTTAAGAACCACTTTTTGACAACAAGGACTAAAATGACAAGTTTTAAAAGTCCTAAGAATTCATAGAAAATACTGTTAATTTTTTTAAGGGCGGAAAATCATCGAATTACTGCTCCTGCCTGGGTGACGCGGAAGGGAGTGTAAGACTCTTACTGACTAAAGACCACCCCGTTCCTTCTCCTACACGTCGAGCCGGAACCCCGGTAACCCGTTAGGTTCTCCGCGACAACCCTGAATACTGTTTACAATTCGATTATTTTTCGATAATTATTATAAGAAGGGATTTTCTGTTTTCTTTTATCATTTCTTAAAACTTGAAAGAGTCTCTTTTAGGTATCTAGGAATATAGTTGTTATGTATTGTATTAGCCGTTAATCCTTTAGGAACACATTTAAACATTACAGGCATGTGTAAATTACTTTCAAAGTTCTTTTTGGGGAACTAAATGGGCGTCGTTTTATTGAAACTTCATAATATTATAAATTCGACAACTTATAAATCGTTTACTAAAATCTCACAAATGTAAAACTGTAATACAGAAGGGAAACTCATTTCCACTTTAATTTAGTAATCGGATAAGTGTTATACTTAAGTAAGTCAAAGTGTGAATGTCGTAAACACACAATGTAAGTACGGGATGCATTTTTTAAGTAAAAGGATGTAGCTTTGCAACATAACATTTGGTAGAATTTTTGGCATTTACTTAGCATTTTTTTTATGTAGAGGGCTATTCTCTGCTATAGGTGAGTAACAAATAATAGATGAATTATTCTATTTCTGGGTTCATAGGACACTGGTAAAATGTTGACAATTATAAATAAGAATAGTGTAATTAAAAATTCAGTTACTCAATTTCTTATTGAATTTAAATGCGAAAGATGTCAAATAAAAGTAATCATATAAACGTATAAACGATTGTAGCTAGATTAATTATCTGCTCTATATGAGAGAATTTATCAAGATCATTTTTATTATCATCAGCTAGTTTCGAAATGTGTTGACAATAAATTAATTGTCACGTACCAACCTTATATTGCGTTAGAAGGCAATTAAAACATCAAATTGTTAAACGTGCGAAAGTAAGTTTGTTTCATATTTGTAACACTTTCACGTCCAAACGTGTGGAATGACTTTAGAGGAATTTTATAGAGATAGATGACCTTGAAGATAATACATTTGCTGTGTAAATAAAACTTGTAAGTATCGCTGTCGGTTGCGTTGGTCGGGGCGACAGAGACGATTTATCGGAAACCATCAGCTATTATATTTACCTCTACGGCCAACTAGTATAATATAATTCATCAGCGGTAAAGGGTGTCCCAACCGTTGCCCGTAACTTCGTTTATAAATTTTTAATGGGATAGGGGAAACGAGCAGGCGGATCACCTGATGGTAAGCAATGCAATAGGGCACCCCCAATAACAGAGGAGTTCTAAGTGCGTTGCCGGCTTTTTAGGGACGGCAGTCTCAAATTCGCTTGGGAGCACCCAATTGAACAACGACACCTTTACAACACCACATGAATTACAATTACGTTAGCCCCTGGCTTTTAGGAAAGAAGTTTTCGACAAAGAGTTTGGTCCTTCGGTACCGATAACCTCCCTCATGCAGTGTTTAATAATAATAATTATAAGTAGTAATTCAAGTCATAGAATTTTTTGTTTTATAGGAAATATTTCAAACTGTGAATGTATAAAAATGAATAAAGAAGTTATTATACTCACTGTGGGAACACGAGATTCATGAATTTGTCGATCTCCGGCTCATTGCAGTCTATGTACAGGTGCAGTTTGCGCACGTTCTTCTTGAATACGCGAGACACGAACTTGCACTTCTCTAGTTGTTTCACTCTCAGCTTCAGTAATTCCCTGTGGGGAACAAATAAACATTAAACTAAAACTTTACTTATTCTAATGTGCCTAATTCATTAGCTTTTACCAGTGACTTTGCCCGTGTTCCCGGGTTAAAAAGTAGTCCGATTTTTTATGGAATAGTATGGGCGGTGGTCGGCAAACGAGCGATTGGTGCTACAACACCAGAGGAGTTACGAGTGCGTTGTAGGCCTTTTATTTTGGGCTCGCTGCCATTGCAGCGGTAAGACCCCTCTTTGAGGAGTGGCTTGAGAGACGCTACGGCGTCCTCACCTACCGCCTGACGCAGGTCCTCACCGGACATGGATGTTTCGGGAGGTACCTGTGTCTGATGGGGCGGGAGGAAATGCCCGGGTGTCATCACTGCGAGGACCGCCCTGAGGACACGGTGGAACACACCGTAGCGGAATGCCCTGCGTGGGCTGAGCACCGCCGTGCCCTCAGGGAAGTGATCGGCGATGGCGACCTCTCGCGTCCGGGCCTAGTGCAGGCCATGATGCGGAGCGAGGGGGACTGGGATGCCGTCTCCTCCTTTTGCGAAGCAGTCATGCTAGCTAAGGAGGAGGCGGGACGCGTGAGGCAGCGAAGCGCTGCCTCCTCGCAACCCAGCCATCGCGAAGGACACACCGGGCGTCGGGGATCGCGGGACGATCTCCGGCCACCGTAAGCGCGGGCCTGCGGACGGCGAGCATGGGTGGCTCCCCGTCCGACCAGAAACAGACCCGAGCGTACGGCGCGTCGCGTTCCGCGCGCGCCTCAAAGAGCCATCAGACCACCACAGATGGGGCCCAATAGGGCCGATGCCGATTCGGAGTCGCGGAGAACCTAACGGGTAACCGGGGCTCCGGCTCGACGTGCAGGAGAAGGAACGGGGTGGTTTTTAGTCAGTAAGAGTCTGACACTCCCTTCCGCCTCACCCAGGCGGGAGCAGTCACTCGATGATTTTCCCCCCTTAAAAAAAAAAGGCCTTTTATTTTATTTTTTTATTTTACACTTCTGTATAATAAACATACGATGGCGGACTCAATGCCGGGTGGCATTCTCTAACAGTCAACCATGGGGTGATGCAGAGATGTGCATCAGTAGGTGTAATAGGTCTAATGGTTTAATTTATGTGACACAGAAAAATCTATATAAATAATCCGTATATATAGGTATAATATAAATTACATAAGATACATTATCAATATTACTAAATAACAATATTAGCTACTACTAAGCCTTTTGGGTTTGGGGATTAGGAATGGAAGAATATTGAGCCTCCTGTAACGTCGCTCATTATTTACTCCACAGTGTAATCTACCACTGTGCCAAACATACGGAAAAGAGATTTTGCGTGAAAGAGTTTTTTTTTATATATTTGATGGGTCAGCGACGTTTGACCACTTTCTCGCCTGGTGGTAAGCGATGATGCGGTCTAAGATTGAACACGTCGACCCATACTCCATTCACTTGGGTCTTGAAGACACCCAGGTATACACTTCAGGAAATACAGACTCTGGCAAGGAATTCCTTAGCAGTGAGCACCAGGAAGCTTGATACGAAATATACAAGAGTAACATACTAACATTAATGGACCATCAGAAACTTTTTTAACGTCTCGCCAAACGCCGAAAGGGTAGGTAGAAGTGCAAATATGCAGTGTAACACCTACTTTTCACCAGTTCTATTAGGAGTCCCATGTATTAGGCAGTGACCCCATTGCTTTTAATACCTCACTTCAAAAACTTTCACAATAACGTATACATAATATTGGTAACAAGTAGAGCGATTGCTTTGTATGCGGTCGTCACCGCGACAGGTGAGCTCAAGGTCTTCCTGCGGTACTGGCGTCGAAGTAAAAGATTTATGTGGTCCGATCGATCTTTAATTCGCAGAAAGACGTTTAAGACTTGTTGTTCTATCTAGTTGGGGCAAACAGATGCCAGGTTATCTAAGCTAAAATGCTTAACTATGTAATTCAATACGTAGGTACTTTTCAACAGTTTCGTCTTAGGTTTTTCGAATAATGCAACTGCCGAGCAAGGGATCTCGATTTCAATTTCGGGTCTGGCAAACTAATATTGAGTTCTAATCGGTATTTTGAAAATTTCTCAAAACAACAGTAAGAAATTGTGCACGGTATACGGCAATAGACTCACCCCTATTAGATGGTTCTCATAACATACCTGGAGAAAAGTTCATGTTACATTGTATAAACCTACCTTTGCCTACATTTACATACGAGCATTAAAACGCGTGATATTATGTTAAGAACTGAGATTGTGTTCTTTGAATTCATAAACAGTCAATTGCTCAATCAGTACAACAATTGTCTCATTAAATATGATTGGCTCTCATGTATACACAAACATAAGAGCTATACTCTTTATGTGTGATGTTACAAATTACAATGTAATAAAATGGAACAATAGTTATTTGCTAATACTGCAAATACATAACTTTAATTGTAATAGGTAAGGCGAATGATAGAAGGTTATTGTTCGACAATTGTTGCATTTGTTATCATAGACCCCTATATGGTATAGAGCGGCAAACGAGTAGAGCACTTAATGTTAGGCATCGGCGCCGCCCATGTATACCCGTAACACGAGAGAAGGTACGAGTGCTTTGTTGACCTTCTTAAGAGATTCAGGATAGACCCTCCACAGCGAAACCGCAACCAACACATGCGTTGATTTACGCCCGTTTTGTGTGAGACTGTACTATCACTCCTGTCGAGCCGACCCATGACTACTGAAGTATTAAAAGCAGTAAAAAATTGGAGCAGTTTTTCTATTGACAAGTGTGGGAGAGCCATGCTTCGGCACGCATGGGTCGGCTCGACCGGAGTGATACCACGGCCTCACAGAAAACCGACGTGAAACAACGCTTACGTTGTGTTTCGTCGTGTGAGTGAGGTTACCGGAGGCCCAATTACGCCCTCTCCCCTCCCCAGTCTCCCCAATTCCCGAATCCTCCACAATCCTCAAATTCCCAATTCCCAAAAGGCTGGTAACGCAATTGAAACGCCTCAGTGTTTCAGGTGTCCTTAGGTGGCGGTGATTGCTTACCATCAGGTGATCCGTTTGCTCGTTTACCGGCTTATACCATAAAAAAAATTGTCAGCCACCAAACCTGCCCTAAAATTAAAACTAGAAGAAAACTTCTAAACAATCTACTTACTTGTGTCCCTCATAGACATGTATAGCGTCCCGCCAGTGTCGACAGACTGACATCGCTGCTAACGCATCCTCCGTGCTGAGGTGTTCCAGTATGCACCTCAGTGGAAGAAGCGGTATCGTGCTCCATGTGTGTGACATCTGAGAACAATAATAACCTTGTAATAAGGGTTGTTTTACTATGTACAATACTTGACTGACTGCACGGTTGGTGCAGTGGCTTGGCAACTAGCTGCCGCGCAACGTGTCGCGGGTTCGATTCCCGCACGGAGCAACTTTTTGTGTGATATCCACAGATTATTGTTTCGGGTCTCAGTGTCATGTGTATGTGTACTTATTTGTTTGTAAATGCACCCGCAAGACAGTAGAAAATACCAGAGTGTGGTAACATGTAAAAAAAAAATGTTTGGTGCATGAAATCCAATTTGGAGAATTGTTGGAAGGATGCCACTTCTATGTGGTTCATCTGGAAGTTATTCAAGGAGGCTCTTGTGACTTAGATCATATTTCACAAGTATCTAATGCTTCGCCTTAATAAGTAAAAAAATAAATAAGGTGCTTAAAAACTCTTTAATTTTATTGCCACAGATTGAAACATGCCAATATCCTAGCCTTATGTTATAGATAAATGCTACCCATTTAAAAGGATCCTTACAATGTTTTAATTCCATATAATATCACCCCTTTTATCACCGAAGGGTTAGGCAGAGGTGTACGTTACGGCACTTAATGCCACTGTACAATGTAACACCCACTTTTCCCTATTTATGTTAAGAGTCCCATGAAATAGGGGGTGAGCCTATTGCCATATACCGGGCACAATTCCAGACTCCAAACTACTACTTAGATTTTTTGAAAAAGCCCAGTAATACTTTGCCCGACCCGAACCCGACACCCCTTGCCTGGCAGTCGCAATTGCGACCACTTGGCGAACGAGGATGTCATGTTTTAAAATTGCATGAATCCTTACTTCCTTACTAATATTACAAATCGGAAAGTGAGTGTGTTTGTTTGTTCTTCTTTCACGCCGTAACTACTAAACCGATTGCTTTGATTTTTTGTAGACGTAAAGTTAGAAGTCCGGATTAAATAATAGGGTACTTTTTATCCCGGAAAAATTTGATGTTCCCGAGGGAAAACAAAAGAATTGGTATAAATGGCTCTGTGTGTATTGGTATATGTCACATAGGCTACTTTTTATCCTTTTGTGACGCGAGCGAAGCCGCGGGTAAAAGCTAGTAAGTAATATGCGACGTAATACATTATTTAATGCACCATGTTTCCATAGAAATATTATGATAAGAGGTTTAATCAGATAAGCTTTTGTAACGGTTGATTTTCTAATACAACCAGTTGAGTTAGCAACACATTTTATAGTTGGACATGGTTTTTAGATTCAATCATACTAATATTATAAATGACCACCAGCCCGTCCCGGCTTCGCACGGGGTAGACAATTATTTATTTTTGGAAATTTGGATTGTTGTAGTGACATAACTACAATAGTTGGACATATGCTACCGCGGAGTTTTTTGTAGATATTATGATGTTCTTCAATATTGTTGTACATTATTTTGTTCTATCGCTAATAGTTTCGGCAGCGCATTCGACGAAAGACATTTTAAGACTCATTTTTCTACACCTTCGGTTACATTGTTAAAATTTTACCAAGGATCCCTAATTTATTTCAAAATGAAATGTAGCCTATGTCAAATTAGAAGAATGTAGCATTCTATTGGTGAAAGAATTTTTTAAATCGGCCCAGTACTTTTTGAGCCTATTCATTACAAACATACAAAAATAGGTACAAACTTTTCCTCTTTATAATAATCAACAGCCTATAAATGCCCACTGCTGAGCAAAGCCTCTTCTCACACGGAGAAGGTTAGAGCATTAATCACCACGCTTGCTCAATGCGGGTTGGCGATTTCAAACTTATAATTAGAAATTATAAGTCCAGGTTTCCTCACGATGTTTTTCCTTCACCGTTTGTCAGTGGTGTCTAAATAATCTTAGAAAGTACATATAACTCGGAAAAAGTGACATTCGTACTTGCCGTTGGTAGGTTTCGAACCCGCACCCTCATGCATGAGAAGTGGGCGTCTTAAACCTCCGGGCCACCACGACATTTCTTTATAATATTACTCACACACTCTTTATAATATTAGTATAGAAAAAGATAGTGCTGGATGTGTGTATGTGTGTTTGTTACTCATTCATGTCAAAACGGCTGCAAGAATCAAGCTGAAATTTGGACAGGGATAGATTATCTGGATTGATCTGAAATACTATATGGGTCTCTTTTTATCACACATGAATGCGAGGAAAGATGCTGGCAGAAGCTATGGCAATAAATATTGTCTAAGGATATTGCTATTATTAACTTTGTTTGCATGTTTTGTTTAATGTAAGTAACTTCTCTATCACATTAGGTTAAACGTGTAATGATAGATGTAAGTGTATTGATAAATAAATAAATAAATTAACATGAGTTCAACCATATTTATTTAAATTATTTGTAAAATACTTAACTTACATAACAGTTAAATGATTTAGTCATGCTAGCAAAATCACAATAAAAAAATAACTAGGTAAGTAGCTCATTAGTAAGTTGAGTAAAACTGCTTCGTTGGCCGAGTGGTCGCAAGTGTGAATGCCGGGCTAGGGGTTTTGGGTTTGATTCCCGAGTCAGGCATAGTATTACTGGGATTTTAAAAAATTCTCTGTAGTAACACGGCGTTGGTATATGGCAATAGGCTCACCCCCATACCTGGGATTTATAACATAAATAGTGAAAAGTGGGTGTTCCATTGTACAGTGGCATTAAGTGCAGTAATGTGCACCTTTGCCTACCTCTTCAGGGATAAAAGGCGTGATGTTATGTTATGTGTAAGTAAGTAATGATATATGAGCAATGACCAGAAATAATAATTATTTTCAGTTAGCAAAAATTAAATCTAAGTCAGCAAGTCATTGCAAAGGAAATTGATATTATGGAGCAGACTGCTGATGGAATCTTTTTTTTGCCAGGTCATACATAAATGGCATCCTGTTTGAATCATTTTGTGAAGTTGTACTTAGAATCAAGAACATGGCAGTTATAGGTAGAAATATATACTGAATTAAGCTACCATATGTTTATGGTAGACAGCTATAAGTACCTTTACTTTTCTTATTAGAATTAAAAAAAAAACATCTATTGTATCTATTGTTTCATAAATAAGAATGAGTGTGACATAACAATTTCATATTAATTTTTAAAGAGCGAAAATTTATTTCATTTTTTGTACCAATCAGAATCAGTTACTCAACATTATAAGAAGAAGAGAAGAGTTGAGAATAAATATTTGATTTGAATAAAAAATTCAGTCATATTCCAAGGGAATATTAATGGTTTTTAAAACAGGTACTAACTAACACTGCCGAGTTTCAGACAAGAAAATCATGACCAAAAACTTATCGATTTTTTTAAATTTACCTTCAAGTAAATAGTAACAGGATTTAATAGGAATATGAATTAGCTGATTATTACCGTATTTTGTAAATAATATTCAAGGAGCGACGTTCGTATTTGGTGACACACTAGCTCAGCTGTTAAATATTTAGGCGTGACGACTTAACAGCTGTGTTTTTTTTTGTGAAAGTGGGTTAACATAAAAACAGTAAATACAACGTCAGAAACACAAGCAAACCGTTATATGCGTTCGAGACGACTCAGTATACATCAATTTTGCAATTTCACACAAGAAAGTCAATACAAAAATATAATTTTAGAAAACTGCGACGATTACATGAGTACAAAGAAAGGTCATTTATCAATACAGGTTTTACTTACCTTGTATTTTTCACAAGTTTAGTATCAAGCTTAACACTATTTTCCCTGCTCTGTTGCGCGTATGTTGTCGTTTGTAACAGTTAAATTACAATTAAGAGAAAGTCGGGACGTTATTTTTCGTTTACACGTCCATTGTAACTTGTAATATCGCGCAAATTAACGTTTACAAATGAACTGACAGAAAAGTCGAATATTTAACGACGTTCGGATTACCGCAACGATGTTTCAACCACAAACAAAAATCTTTAAATAACACATGAATTTTGTAAATTGCAATGTTAAATTTAGTATAATTTAAATTTGTAGGTACTGACGGATGCATATATTATGGAATAAATAATTAATTCACGTCAAATTATTTAGTAAATAACTATTCCGCTATAAAGAGTCTGTTCGAACAGTGTATCCAAACGTTTGTTTTGACGTTTATTTGACGTTTTGTGCATAATGTTGCAAGTGGTGAAAAAAATAACGTGAGTTTTGCTACAATAGAAAAATGTTGGTAAAAATTATAAAAAATATTAATATATAATACTTATACATCAACTATGCAAATGAAGAAATATTTAAAAATAATCTACTACAATTACTGTTTTATTATATTGGATGATGCAGCAATTAAGAATAATTTCAAAATTATTTTTAGAGCAATTCCTTACTTAGTCCGAAAGTTGCAACACCAACACGAAAATGGCGGCCAAAAATCAATTTTGAATTGTGACAGCCGCGGCCGCAGTAGTTTTGTCACAAAATAAATTATTTACCAAGTAAATAAAGCGCGTTCCCGGTGTTAACAACGAAAAATGTTAGTCGTCTTTGTTCGTTCCACGAGGCGTAACACTTTTCCTCTTTAATTAGGTGCGATAGTTTCAACATATGATCGTAGTTATTATAATAGTCGATGATGTAAGAATCTGAAGGTCTCGGGTGTCTTGTGAGTGCATAGTTTTATTGTTATTGTCTCGAGGACTGTTTGAAGAGGTTTCGCCATGGAGGGTGAAGATGGGAGTGTGGGGAATCCCGATAAAGAAGATTATGAGAGCAGTACTCATTCAACCCCTCAAGAACACAGATCTTTTGCGGAGTTCGCAAAAGACAAACTGGATAGCGGTGCGTATTTTGATATTTTATGTTGAGCTTGTAAACAGATGTTCTAATTAGGTCTGTAAACATATGTAAAAAGATATATTATATTTTTGGCCTTTGTTTTAATGATTTTAATTTATGTAAACTATATTTTGTGAATATTTTTTGTAGAATTAATATTCGCATTTGATTTTATTATCTCAAAAGTAATATGCATTAGCTTAAACAGTGAATTACCTAAAATTAATTGGTTTTCAAAAATATTTAATTCTTTTTAAATAATGCCTACAATTATTTTATCTCACATAGGAAAAAATGGTTTTTTAGTTTATTAACTATTAACAATTATTCAGCATTAGTATTTCTAGTTACAAAACACATATTAGTATGTATTTAAATTTTTAAATAGCATTTAAAAACTTACATACAGTTGCAAATTCCTTTACTTTTATTCTCAAGATTTATCTTTTCAGTAATCCTCCATGCAATTCAGTTGTAAAAATTAAAATAATAATTATGCTCAGCTGGTCGTGAGCTTCGTCGCCGCCTCCCAATGGCTGGGCAGCTGGGTGCTCATCTGATGCATCCTCGCCGACTCCTGCTGCATTCCACACCGACACAGCACACAGATGTTGTGTTAATATTTCCTAAAGGTAAGGTAAATTAGGTTTTTTCACTTATAAATAACTAACACAAAGCTTGCCTTGTAATGAATTAAAAGTAAAATAAAAAAAAATGAAAAGAAACTTCAATTTTATAATAGGTTAGTATTATTAACTCTGTTAATAATCCCACTCTCTGTGATACATCCTAAAGTTTGATAATTAAACTTTGACTAAAGTAATTTGATTTATTACAAATTAATGTTTGCAACCTAATAAATATACAATCCAATTACTGTAACTATGTGCTAAAAGTTCGTCAGCTAATTCAGTAGACAGGCATTTTTAATCTACTCACTAATAAGTTCTATTTGAGTGCTCATGAACTTGATAATAGATCCAATTGACTTCAGGTTATTTTAGGAGATGATTCTAATTAGACTTAATGTACCATTCAATCTGAGTCAGTTGAATAATAAGGATTAGAATAAGATTCTATAAGTTTTTTTTTTAAGGGTTGCCCCACACTAGGATTTTTTCCTGTGTCGTGGGTGCGTTTACAAACATATAAGTTCACATACACATGACACCCAGACCCGAAACAAAACCTAGGTACTTTTCGCAATTTATGTTATGAATTCCATGTAATAGGCGGTGAGCCTATTGTCATATACCGGGCACAATTCCAGACTCCGTGTTACAACTGAGATTAAAAAAACCAATAATACTTTGCTTGACCCAGGAATCGAACACAAGACCTCTTGCCCTTTAGTCGCGTTTGCGACCACTCTGCCAATGAGTGCAGTATTAACTTCAATTCGTATTAATTCCTATTAACTACCTACATTGTGTAATTGAGTTTGATTGGGTTGGTTGCAAAGAGTAACTGCTGATTGAATGAGAATATTTGTATGCAGAAGCCTGTTTTTATCATTTCCAGACAGATTGGTGCAATGTAATCACGGTACTTTGACAATAGTAAGTACTTGGTATTTAGCACTCATTTAGGAAATAATTCTAGTTAGTTAACAGATCAAATTGTGTGACCTAACTAAAAATACATAGGGATAACAGAAGTGAAGAATGAATTTCCTCTACTATTTTCAAGTCACACTAAGACTAATTTCTAAGTAATTTATAACACCAATTTATTAAAATTAAAATATTTACAACATAAGAAAAGCAAAGAAAAAATAAATATGTACAAAGAGACACTATAACTCAAAGATAAAAATGAAATGAAAGAAATCAAAAAATTCGTCCGCATCGACGTCAATAGGGAGAGTACCCAGAAGGCTGGCAGCATTGCCACGTTGTATGGCAATGCTTAACCTCTGACCGAGAAATAGACCAGCCCTCTGGTCACAAGATGTGTCGTCCACGCGATTGGAAATGACAAATTTATAACACTAAATTGAGTGAAAAACATCTCACGATGGTTTTAGACAAAATAAGTTAAATATTAATTAGAAAGGATTCAAATGTTTTATGGTTATAAGGTAATTAGTGAAACTGAGAAAAAGTACATAACTAATAAAATATCTAGCAAAATATTCTCGCATTTGTATAAAATTGTGCAAAATATTGCGAGTGCTGCTGGTCTCAAACCATCAAAAGTCCATTTGTTTCTGGCTGTCCGAAGTAACGATGCATTTTTTCGGTTGCATTGCCGTCTGGCTCGTCCATTTGGGATGCATCGTTCAATGTTTTAAAATTTGATATTGTATGAACAACGTCCCATTATGTTATTCAATTAAAAAAAGACCTTATTCGAAGCAATTACCTACGTTAATTAATCTTAATAACATGTATCATTCATAGGCGAAGTTCCTCTCCACAAGAAATAGGTACCATAAGTGTGTTCTAATCATTATTGATCGTCTTAGGTACACTGAACATCTTGTTACTCTACTTGAGAGTTGGCTAAGGATTCACGAAGCGATTTTCTCCCGCGGACGCAGTCTTTGTAGTATACGAGGTATGTATGTAAAAAATGAAAGCACATTTCACGAAGTGTTTTACGCCCGCGGTGTACACGCGATTGTTTGCAGCTCCCGCAGCCGCGGCGGGTTGCACCCGCTCTGCAATCGGTTGGCGAGCGATCACAATAAGAGGGCCGGTCTGAAGCTCAACTGATTGTTTAATCGCCCGTCTTGCAACAATCAACCGCCAAGTTTGCGAGCGATTATCACAATCGCGGCGGCTCCAGGACCGCAGAAAACTGCGATCTCGTGAGTGCGGGTGCGGGTGAAAATCGCGTTATGAGTCCGTAGCGTTAGAGAGTACTTAATAGTATAGTACCTACCTTGCTACACAGGAGGACAGAAATCTACATTAGGTACTCGTAACTTAGATTTACGACTTCTAGAAATTGAAATAAATATTTAGTCTGACCCTCGTAGCTCGTAGCAGTTATGATCACTAAACTGGACCAGTACAAAAATACAAGAAAATACAACGAATTGTATTTGCAAGTTTTTCTAACCGAAAGTGGTGCACTGCAGTGTAGGTAACTGTGTAAAATTATGTATTGTTTAAGTTCGAAGTTTGCATGAAGTAGGTATGTAATACTCGTGGCTCGTGTACACTTCCGCGGCGACCCGCATTTTTCTCACCCTCGCCTCTGAAAATTCCAAATCTAATAGACGGTTTTTGGTTTGGCAGATTCTAAGTATTTGGCGCCACTATCGCGTTAAATCCTATAGACCTAATGCTACACTGCCCCCAGTCACTAATTTAAACGAGACAACTTCGTTAATATTAGACTTCGAAACTTAATTGGAAGTTTGAGACATTAAAATGGATGAAATTAAGATACATACATGTGATATGAACTTAGGAGCATTAATAACGTAGGACACATCCAATTATTCCTTCAGGGAATACAAAGTCTTATGTTGTAGTTGGGCTCCCAGTCTTCATAAAAACATTGCACAGTATGAAACACATAGGCTAGCGTGTTGTTTTGATTGTATTGCAAAAAACAACGTTTTCCCTGTTAATAAAATTACAGTAAAAATGCTGTGTATAATATGGCCATAGAAAGTACGTTTACCCGACCCAAATGTACTACAATATGACCAGCCGACCCTTACGCACACATAGTTACTTTGTATTGTTATTATTATTGAAATATGGACAGCATTTGTATGTAGGGAATTGGTATGTTGCCAATACACGTATTGTGTAGACTTCGTAAGCCTAATTTCTTTACATGTTTTGTATAGCCTTAATACATGCAATCGAGCTTATATCCTGCTGGTTATAAGCGGGAATTTGGTCATTAGGGGGGCGCCACGATCGATAAAAGTCCCTTTGAGCAGCTCGTCAAGATTACGATCACTTTGAAAAGTGTGAGCACGCTATTTGGATTTGTATGTTTTCGTAATCATTGTAATTTTCTTTATTGTACATCGTGTCTTAAATTATAAGCTCGTATTGTCGTATCGTAAATTGATCATATAGTACGAATTTTATCGCACAAAAAAAAAAACTAAGCGATACCAAAAACCAACCATCCAGGCGATTAAAACGTGGGCAGACATAGCAGTGATTTAGTAAATGGATTCTATCCATCCGATCTCTTGGTCCAAATTCGAAATTAATCAAGCAACTCTGACATTTATTAATGAAACCTTCTTTTGTAACGTTCCAACTTGGGAGACTCCGTTTCTATGAAGACGTTCGCGTGGTTTTATCTCAATATTTTAGTTACGGTCACGCCTATATTTCCTCGAGGGAATACCCAATATGAAACGCGTAGGATTTATGATGCTACACCTTCATTTCGCCGATGAAGATAACGTTCATATGTTTTTGAGAGAGCTTCCAAGTTATCTCAGTATTTTCGCCGCAGTAATTTTAGTATTCATAAGGTTTTGAGAAGAATTATAGAGTTATTTTCCATTTATATCGTGTTAGTAGAATCTTTTATGTGGATGACTAATATTAACCTAGTTTAAGTTCAAGAGAGGTCATATAAAGGCGTGACTTCTGCCTGCAAACACCCAAATGCTACCATACTTTTAACTTAGGTACGAAAATAAATAAGTCGTAGTTAACCCATCTCTCTTTTGCTGAGCTCATTGTTACTCTATTACATAAGTAGTATATTCGTTTCAGAAGGGAAGGTTTTCAATCATGTTACGTTCGTGTTTTCTCTCCTAATTTGCAATATACAGCTTTTCCATTCTTTACGAGCCGTCATCAAAATATGCTACCCGCTAAGGATGACCTTCAAATGCGAGGTTTTATATCACACTACACAATCACCTATTCATAAAGGTTGCATAAAACGGATTTCGTAATAAACAAAAGAGTGCTTATTATTAAAGCTAGGTACTTTCTATAACCTGATAAAATTAATTGAAATTCCCTCGTATTGTTTGACCTGAAACTCTGCGAAAATAACCTTTCCATTGTTCGCTAAACGGTCCCTGTTCAGAATGAGAGGTCAAGCGTTCTGTCGATTTTACCACGATCGTGGAATACGACCGACTCGACAAAATTGAAGGAAGAAAGTGCTTTTGGAATTGACAGGCGCTAAGTGGGTCCCGGTTCTCCCAAAAGGACCACTTCGCCCGACGCCTTTATAGAAAGCTTCTTACTTTTCACTGCACTTAACGATTTTTCTGCTTCTTGGCTGAATATAATACGAATCTCGTCCTTCTTCGTCTTAAAATACTTCTTTCGAGATTCAAATATCGCTCCAATGTTCGTTCACCTGAGCAAAATATGAAGTTACGTTACATTTTTTTTCCTTTACCGTTTTTATTATCTGCGGTGTACATTAAAGTATCGCCCATAAATCACAGCTATTTATCTGTACAGTGGCTTGGAACGAAAAAAATGGCTGACTGCTCGGAAATATCTCATTATTCATCCAAATAAAGCAGCTGTGTTCTACTTTACTAAACTAGACCCGTCTTAAAGATGTCGCATTTCATGATACGCGCACGAATTATAAATCCGAGTCTTTACTGTTCGCATTAGGAAACGACATTCAATTGATTTCCCAGCTTTATATCGAACAGATACGGTAATCGGTTCTGCGGCGTACCTCCATGAATTTATTAATGTAAAGTACATGTTTAGCTTGGAAACGTATTGTGAAGGCGAAAGGTAAAATGTGAAACGAATGTGTTGCGGGTTTTCATTTGCAAAAGGTCTTTGTACCGGTTGTTTGAACATGAATAAGTAATTTACTGCATGTCAGAGCTACTGTAATTAATTGTAATCATTTATGCCTTTTGGTTTTGCTACCTGATTCGAGTTATAAGCGAAATACCTTCTCTATTACTTACTCTTGGTTGTTGAAAAATGAAATTAATTTCAGAGTTCTTGAAGAGATCTTAAGTCCGAGATAAGTAATTTAGCAGAAACTAGCAGGACGGTCCTTTGAGACAAACGTAATTGTTGCCTCAAGTTTGAACATACAAAGACAAGGGACCTATTAGTTCTAATATAGCAATATTATATTCGCAAAAATGATTAAAGAACAAAAATTTTATAACTGTCTCTTCAGTTTAAAAAACTTCGTAACTATTTCCCATGAGCATTGTTTGCTTTGAAATGTGTCCAGAAATGGCTTCATTTCATGTTTAAAACAAATGTTAGTTTAGATACCAAGTTGGCTGGGATATTTTTACTCTAGTCGGTATAAAAGTTTTGGCGTGACTCCAGACTTGGTATTCAGCAAGCCTTTACATTTTGTCTGATGTACGCCATTCTATGTAGAAATGTTCGTGTTAACTGCTGGCGTAACTTGGTACATACAATTTTCACGTCAGAGCTTTAAAATGTAAGGTGGAGGTTGCCTTTATTAAAGGCTTTAATGGTTTACTTAAGCGACCTGTGTTTGCTCCGTTTGCGTTAACATATTTTAATTTTACAAAACCGAGGGAAGAATGTTGTATGCCTTGCCATGTTTAATGGATCTTCGTTGTAAAAATATATTTCGCAGGATTTTACAGAACATTTTCAGATTTCGCTGGTTTAAAGTCCTAAAAGACGACAAGGGATGACTCAATTGCGCTCAATTTATTTAAAATTTAGAATGAATTAATTATTATGTTTTTCGGCTTACTCGCGTGATTCAGCTACCGCGACTGTCGCGCTGCTACATACCAGACCAGTTCCTCATCAAATAATTACGTGAGCAAGCCGAAAACAATAATATTTTATTTAAAATATCTCACAAAAGTTATTAGATAAAAACATAATGACTTCAGAATCGAAAGTGTCCATTAACATTAAATCATCAGAACTCGATTACTTCATACAACACAATTAAGATAATCTTTACTCGTCACAAATGTGTTGGCAGCTTGCCAAATCCAGTTTACTTAAAGGAACGATCAACCGAACGGATGAACGGGCTGGTCATGAACTTGTTAATGAGGGCTCGACTCGATCCCTGATGTAAAGCGGAAACTGGCGACAAGCCAACGAATCGAATCGAGAAAAATAAAGATTTGGAACGTAGACGAATAAATCTCGTACCTAATTTCCGCCAAATTGTATCCGAACTTCCGAATTTTCGTCTGCGTTTGAGTCAGATGGTTTTGATTGTAAACAAGATGGGGATCCCCTGTCTAGTCCAGTAGTGTGCAAACTTTCTTCAAGTTTTCAAAAGTTTTGGACGACGACAACGAAGCAGGTTCCAATACTTCCAATGCATCTATTATTCTATCATAAACTCAGGTCGAATATCGATCTACCATCTACTTCCGTTTCGAAGGACACATTTTCGGCGGAGAGATTACATCGTTTCGCGTGCCCTATTTGCCCAACATGACATCTAGTCGGTCTATAAAGTTAATATTTTAGATACTGTGCGACTATACAAATGCCAATATTCATGACAGACAAGAAATCGAAGGTGTTTTATATGAGTGCCATTTTGGATAGATTATAGTTATAGGTACTGAGGATTTTTATTTACATTTTAAGTAAGTATGCTTGCAAATTTTCTATTCAGGTAATTTATTAATGTAATCTTCAACAGGTCTCCCAGACAGTATGCTGTTATGGCTACTGCAGAAGCTGCGTGGTAGTAGACCACGTTTGCGAGTGTGCGTGCGACAACATGCGTCGTCCCAGTGTTCTGCGTTTTACATTACTGCTGATGATGATGTGTGAGTGACATTATCTTTATTTAGTAATTTTTAAATACTTAAAATGTTATTATTAGGTGACGTGTACCTCTTAAACCTATAGCTTTTTCACGGTATTTTTATAGTTGTCTATTTAGTCGTCTTTGTATTTCTGTTCAACTCAAAACTTACCAAAATATGTCCCAAGTTAATTTAGCCTTGTTTCAAGAATCATAGGTATTTTTGGTACATGTTTCTTAAAAATTGCTGATGTTATCATTTGATGTAAATAAATTCCTTCAGACTTGAACAAGGCCTAAGTTAACACTGTAATAAATGTCGATTCTTTATTCCTAACGTAACGGATTGGATAGTCAGATTAGCGTGTGATAACATAAAGTGGTACTTTATCTTCGTAGTTTTATACTAGCATCGGAATGAAATCTCGAATTAGGTACTGTTACGTAATTTAAGTACCCATTAAATAAAAAGTTTTGCAGTTGAAAATTCTAGCAAGTTTTAGATGAATGAGTGTCCGAAAATAGAGCAATTTTTTACCCAAATTGGTCTATTTTAGGAACTAAAAATTTTAAACACTAAAATTACCATTTTTGAACGCAGTAAATTGTATATGGTTGGCCTGGAAAATCCAGCTTAGTCTAATAAATAAAATATTCTGGCAACAAACTTCTAAAATAAACAGTAAACCTCGTTAAAAAACGGCTCTAAATGTCTCAAGGTCACAACGAAATGGTTTTAAAAGTTTTAACGAGTGCAAAAATTCTGTTTAATTTTCTCTGGTTATTTCTTTTTATGGGGTCTTAGTAAATGAGTAGTAATTAGGCACTGATATCTGTTCTGTAGTTGAAAAGTGTTGCTGGGTTTCGTATTGATGCATCGCTCTTTTTATGGTATAAGCCGATAAACGAGCAGACGGATCACTTGATGGTAAGCAATCGGCGTCGCCAATGGACACCTTAAATACCAAGGGCGTTACTGGTACGTTACCGGCCTTTAGGGAATTAGGAATTTGAAGATTTCTGGGGATTCAGGGATTGAGGAGATTCGCGAAGGGGGCAGGGGTAATTGGGCCTCCGATAACCTTACTCACACGATGAAACACAACGCAAGCCTTGTTTCACGTTGGTTTCCTGTGAGGCTTTGGTATCACTCCAGTCGAGCCGAAGAATGGGTCTATTTTAAATAACCTCCATCAATCAGCCAGATTCACCATCGACAAATTCCCTGTGATTGTTTGATGGTTTTGTCAAGTACTAAACCTTAATTTTATCTTCACCAACTTATTTATACAATCTATAGCGATAATATTATTACTACTCCTGTACTAGATCGACCAGTTAGTTTATAATGTTAACATTATGAAGTCATCGCATGATTCACCTGTTTGCGTCCGTTTTAATTGTGTCACGATTATGTTGTCCGTTACGTTTTTGTCATCATTGAGACTTCTTGGGAATCAACCTTTTTCGGTTAAAAAAGTCATGTTTTTTGTTAAGAAGTCTGTAGCTTTTCTAACGCTGTATAGGTAAATGAGATAATCCCAACAATGATGGTTTGTCTTATAAGGTGAACTTTAGAAATAATTGTATTTAAAGTTTAAGACGATTATAATCTTCAAGTAATACAATTTTACATAAGTGAAAGTGTAGGATACACTGTAACAGTTGTAATACATTTGGTGTCCTTTTTAGCTTACTTCAAACTGCAGAAGAAATGCATCTCCCAAAGCAGCTAAAGCCAGAATTCGGAGGCGGTTACAAGGAGTTCACAGTTCGCGATATGCATTGTTTTCAAAAGGTAAGTCAATTCATTTTATATTTTTAGCAAAGTTAAACGTAATTGTGGCTCTTTTTCAGGAGAACACGCTTTTGAAAGGGCAAATATTTACATTCAGGGGACTATACGTAGAACTTTATATTCAGTTCGACATGATATCTTCACGTAATCCTTAGAAAATCTCTGAAAAGCTAGTGACAGCTATCTAAGCGACAACACAAAATGGTCCTTTAATGATACCTTTCAAGGTACGAACCTTTTTAAACCAAAACGACGTCCATTAAAAGCTATAAAAATCCATGTTATAAAATGATATCGGTGTGGAGAATACTCCTCGGCTCTTAATGCCCACTTCTGCATCATAATGTGTTCCCCGACCTATTGTCACAGCTTGCGATACTCGAAGTAATGGCTCTGCGCTCCTTAGCACTAGCATTCTAATGTATCCAGCCATGATGTGACGATCTTTCAGTGAACTTTTGTGTTGCAAGCTTTTCTCGCGAGTATTCGAACTTTAGGATTTTAGGATTGAATCTTGAAGAAGAGGACGTATTTCTTCTTAAAAGACCAGTAACACACTTGTGATTTACTGCTGTAGTGGATGGCAATGGGTGGCGCTCACAGCGAAAGAAAAAAAAAATGAATCCTATGAAATGGGAATGATACCAACTCCTTATGGTTCCAAATAAATACATAGATAGATAGTGATTTTGGTTCTAATCCATGTTAAACCTTGGGTGTTACAGATAACAAAAATCTGTAATAAAATCCTTTCATAAATCTTCGTCTTTGCCACAATATCATAACAAGGCACGAAGGAATATACGAAACCTTCCCAAGTGACGAATGGCGATCATAAAAACAAACACGAGACGACGCAGCTGAAGCTGTTTTCTTATCTGTCAGAAACTAAACGGTTTGGCCAAAAATCTGGTCCTTAGAGACATAACCAGAAGTAACGTGATAAGTTCGTATTTTCCTAGAAGAACGATGGTATTTTTAATGTGTTATACGTAACAGTACTTTAATCTGTCTGTGTATCTAATGTCAGTCAGTAAATCAGTTTATGTTGGTAGCAAAACGTATAACAAAATACATACCTATATACCTAGCAATAAACGCGTCTTTGATGGAAAATAAGCTTGTAAGTAGCGAGCCATTAAACTGATCGATTCACGTGTTTTATTGAAAAATCCGTAAAACATTGCAACACCAATATACAAGCGTAAAACCACCGACAATGTACACGGTATGTAAATGAAAATGGAACGGTTAAACGAACGTTGATAAAATATTTGCTAACCGCATCGAAGCTTCCCATGTGTGTGATTAATAAACGAATACCTTCATGAAAATTTACTGTGATAGCTGAAAATGTTGGACTCAAACCAAGAACCGGGTTTCTATTGGCTATGCTTCCATTTTAATATTTACGGCTAATAAATATGATGTCAAGCTCTACCTTGATAGTTTTGTGGTCTCTGGGGACATTCATACAAAATATACGACTTTACGCAAAAACAGTTTTTGGCTAAATACTATGCAGAGATACTTATTTGAAAAAATATACACAAGACTAAAAGCGCTAGTGGCGCCACTCTCTGTTAAACTCTAATGCTTATTTTTTATAGTCTTCAATGTTACTTCTGAATACGAAACACACAATAGGGACAAAATTACATTGGAAGTTTCAAACTTAGTAAATGGATTGATATTGTCATGATTTGCACGTGGCAAGTTCGCCTCAAAGGAGAGAAGTGACTTAAGTTTTCATGTTTTTCCGTCACGCAAAAACAGTGATATAAACTTAAGATCGTTACCACATATATTAAGTAATCAATAGCTGTCACCCTAGTAATCTTCGCTGACGTATTAAGTCATTCAACGTAGATAATGGTACGAAGATGATTAATAAGTCGGTCAGGTTTGAATAAGATGTTCTTTAGAACAATATCTCTGATGAACGTTTGTGTTTTAGAAAAATGTTCACGTTGACACCACTCTCGTGAATTATTTTTTTTACTGCTAGCTGTTTAAGAAAAAGTACCTACTCATATTAATTTTTCGTAGGATTTGTAACGAAAATTTTCATTGATTTAACGGACACGCAAAACAAATATAGTTTTTCCTTTGAGATCAGCAATAGCTGACAAAGGCTTGAATATTCATTAGTTCATTCATGACGAGTCTTAAGTCCAAGTAACAGGACTCCTTAATTATGAGCTCTTCGTTTTCGCTCAAAATTATAAATGTATACAGGGCCTAAGTAATTTTAGACTGACGGAACACAGCTTGTTATTCCTCTCACACCAATTAAGTGGGTTCTCGTCCTTAAATTAATTACGTAATTCGATGATCGAATAAATTTCACTCTCAAAAATGTTGCTAGGGATGTTAAAAAATACTGCTTTTTACGTACCACGATTCTTTTGGTCCAATAATCGTAAAGTTTTTACGTGATTGGAAGACCCACGATGCTCCATCGATTTTCTTTTTGAGTATGGTGGAAATTGAAGTGTATTCGCTTCGTGGTTTAGTGGTCGATCAAATTGTTGAGCATACAGCCTTCGGTTTGATTGACGAGTCGACGTCAGCTTTCCAACCTGGGTGAATTCAAACGGAATTTATGTTGTTTATGCAAATAATAATAAGCTAGCTATTGCTTTGACTATTCAAAATTACTTGTAAACGGTGAACTACAATAGAAAAATATATCATAAACTGTTCATTTGCATCTTATAGATTTATTTCTTGGTGAACACGCTATAGCACTTAGGAACGTAACACGCGCTTGAGAAATAAATGTCTTTATCTGACAACAATACTGAGTTTGCCTGACTACAATGTATTTCACTATGAAAGGAATAAATTCCCCTCTTTGACTTTAAATGCTACGCAAGTACGAACTACCTAACTAAACAAATTCATTTGTTCCCTAAACATTTAAGCCTTAAGCAAAAATAAATAGAGATTTTGTTCGTAAGCAAGCGAAATCTTGTATTCAGTATTCATAGGTCGGTTCAGCATTGCAGTATCTTGTATACGGCCAATGCCTCGTCTACAATGGCTAGGATCAGAGTGAACAGCTGTTACGTCGCTACCTTCCTACCCTGACTCTGTGACCTGCTTCACTATAGATTTTTGGCAAGTTATGTAACTCAAACTGTTAGAGCTGTTGCGAAATTTCCACATTACTTCCAATTTCTATTTTAAGTTGTTTTGGTGGTACGTTTATCCGATTGGCAAAGTATTTTAATGTCAAGTAGTGCGATAGTTTCATTGTCATGTTGGTAACATCATTACAAGCGCGATTTCTGAGCTCAGAACTCTAATATACCCTTCGATACACGCGTCGAAAATACTACTGTTATACTTTATCGTAATCGTAAAGAAGCTAAATTTTCCTTCAGAATGGTACCATATTTATATAGATGAGTACGCTTGTATAATGTAAGTCATATTTTAACTCAAATGAGATAAAGCTAGCACGTCTGTTTCAAGTGCAACAAAGACTTTATGATAAAGTGGATTTTGAAAAATGTGCACTAGAGAATACAGTGACTTCGTGACAGATTAAAGAAATATGGCGGAATGAAGGTCATCCTTGTATTGTAATATAACATTGCTCAACGTTAGCTCGAAGCTGGAAGCTAAACTAAAGAAGTGGAAAATGTAACTTGAGTTCAATATAAAGAAATCACAAAATAACAAATATAATCTAAAGGGACCAAAAATCAATAGACCCTCTCCCGGTCTATTTTTTTTATTGGTTCGAAACTCTTTAGTAGGGTCTCAAGAATCTAGAAAAAAATACAGGGCTATGTTCAATAAAACGTGTGTTCTTACATTTATCTGCTAAAACGATTAGATACCGCAATACAAGAAATATTTTACGACCAGTTCCTTTTAGCTAAATAGATGTAGCAATAAGTCTGGGAACGCTGAAGTAATATTTTCTCAAACAAGATAAAAATATTACCAATATACAGCCTTGTACAGGATGACAGATTATTTATCGTGACATGCTTAGCAGGTTTTAGGGTGTATTCCTAGGTGTCATGAAGATAAAGTGTTGTTCATTTTCATAACCATTGATAACCTAAGTCTGTATTAAGTTTCTACCTAGTTATAAGCATTTGGACTATTTTGTCGGTTGACTAAACAGTGCCAAGAGGTTTCGAATCCGATTGTCTAGTCGGGCTAAGTAATTTTGGGGGATTTTCGGTAATAACACGGCGTTGAAAATTGATCCCATTGTTCGGTAATAGCTTCACCTGCTATAACAATGGAACTAAAGCATTACCAACTTATATTCTAGTTCATTCCCTACCCCAAAGTGAAACGTGCACGAATACACAAAATAGACACCATAATTTGCTATTCACTGCAAAACTACCACGTCATATCGACGCCAATCAATATTAGCAATGAAATATTTATGGTATGCACAGAAAAACAGTATCTGACACGCATATTATACGGCTTCCTATCGATTGCACGCATTGTTTGTGTTTATTCGTAGGCCGTAGATACATGTATTTTATGGGTGGCTGGCTTTAATGAACTGCCTGTGCCTATGTTCTTTCGGTATAAACTTACGTAAGCTAAGAACAGCGGATATATTGATTCAATGAAATATTTCCTAGAGCTATACTGATGGAGATAAAACCGTTTTAGTGTTTTTATATGGGCAAAAACTTGCTTTGTTTATTTTTTGTCTAAGCTGTGATCTCAATGACTATGTAATAAAAAGAGCTACCGTATTTTGTTGTCAAATACCAATGCGAAGTAAGAGTTTCGACCTCCGGGTTCCGCTGCGATTAAAGGATAATTGAGTTTTCGATTTCAAATGGAGAAGTCTGAAATGTTTATCAATGGGTTTGTCCAGTGGGACTAAACTTAAGAAGCATCTGAAGTATATGGTAAAAGCCTTAATTGCATCGATAAAAGCAGAAAACTTCGCGTTAAATGGAATCGTTTAAACAAACCTAATTAAAAGACACAGTGCAGAATCCAACTCCGCAGAAGTTAGTTCGCAAAGATATGAAAATACTCAACTTTAGAACGTCATACATAAAACTTAAAGTCGAAAGTTACGAGGAACTATCCTCTCGCTTGTTTTAACTACTACCGAAGTTCTCGAGATTTTAATTGCAAATTGTTTATACAAATATTCCGTCTGTTTTAACGGAATACCTATTTTGGGATTTTGAGCATGTAATGACGAGTTATTGAGAAAGGGTTTTGTAGACAACTAGAGCTTGAAGATCGAGCTTAGTGGCGTGCTATTAGAGAGTTATATACCCAACAGTGGATGTAAACTGACTGATGATCAGCTTGAAGAATTATCATCATAACATCACGCCTTTTATCCCCGAATGGGTAGGCAGAGGTGCACTTAAGACCACTATACAATGTAACACCCAGTTTTCACTATTTATTTTATGAGTCCCATGCAATAGGGGGTGAGCCTATTGCCATATACTAGGCACTTTTCCAGTCTCCGTGCTACTGCTAAAAAACCCAGTAATACTTTACCCGACCCGGGAATCGAACCCGAGACTACTTGCCCAGCAGTCGCCACTTGCGACCACTCGGCCAACGAGGCAGACTTTGCAGTATTTTGAAGAATCTTATATTACTATTAATAGTCTAACCTCCACTAACAAGCTTCAATTTTATACGGGGTCTGTATAATTCATTGCAAATACTGTTGTTTGGACGAGTATAATAAGACATTTTTTATGAATTACCAAATTCTTACGATTATATAAATTTCTGAATTAGGTGTCTCTTCTGATTGTGATCATAATAGGATTACGTAACTTCGTCATTGTTTTAATTCTATTGAGATAAACAATGCGATAACTATACGGGTTGCCTAGTAGGTACTGAAACAGGGAATAGTGGTCGCTTTTGGGCGACTTATATTTAGCAGTATTAAATTTACACTTAATTCATATTAGCTGCATCTTACTTAATTTTTTCATCTATTTATTTAGATTTTTGGTACTTATTGTTTCTGGTGATTTTGTTTTCATTTTTATATTGATTTTATTATTTATATCATGCTGTGCTTCGAACAGCGTTACCGTAGGTGTATAATTACGTATTACTACGGGCTGATGCCGAAAATCAGCGCCGTGGACTCGAGCCTCCGTGTATTAGCTGTAACAGTATTAAGCTGAGCTCCTTTTGCCCTGCGACGCACCATGGGCTTTTTGCGTGTACCTGTATTCCTATAGTGTGTCGTGGCGTAATAAACAGTTTTCTTTCTTTTCTCTCAATTTGGTTCATCTGTTTTTCCAGGGTTCTTCAGCAGCAGAACTGTTAAACTCTCAAGAGCGCGGTGCTTTAGTGAAGCATGCCTTAGAATCCGCTCGTGCGGAACCTGGCGACGAGCATGCGCTGGAACCAGCCCTCACTTTACGACCTGGACAGAGTATTGGTAAGTTTTCTATTGTTGATGATGGTATTTTTGGGATTATTATAACTATCGTGAGGCGTACTAAATTAATTAAAAACATCGGGTTACTCACGTGAAATAATGAGAAAAGCTCTAGTAGAGTCGAGTCACAGAGGGACACTTCTTCATAAACATGATGTATTAATTTCGGGATGGTAATTATCGACTGAGGCATAGAAATATTGAAATTGAAACTATAATGATGCACAGCAACGTAACAGTGGACGATCTATCTATTGTTTACAAGTCCAAAATTGCTGGATCCGTTTAATTCTTAAAACTTATTGTAAACGACAATCTTATATATGATTAATAAAATGATTAGGTTACTTAGCAATTTAGTAATGGGCTTATCTGTTGAATATTTCATTAGTTCATATGAAAGACAGGATTTGCTCTAACAGTTAATCCTCTTTATTTCTGCTATAGAGGATTTTAATGCATAATAGAAAAGTAATAAATTATTATTGTATACCATAACACGCAGATCATAAATCTTAAACAAAAAATATGGAACTTTCAACCTCATAAATCGTAGTCAAACATTCATAATAGTCTGAGTACACAATGGTGTACGATTGAACCTCTCACCTTGAACTGGTTAGCTGAAGTCAATGAGAGTGGGAAGGTCACTCTCTCTTATACCTGAAGTGTGTGAACTTTGTAAAGGACAGACTTTTTGGTATCGTTGTGAATTTTATACGAAATGTTTATAATGAAAAACTGGACTATGTTTCTATATAAACAATACAATGTCTGGTGGTTTGCGAGAGCGATTATTGGGCATGCGGTGTTGGACTTATTATTTCTGTATAACAAAATTTATCAAACCATTCTTTGAAGAAAAAAAGAAGGTGAAGATATATAGCATATCCAAATTCCAGTCCACTGCTATCACTAAGAATAGGTATTAAAAAAATTGATATCAACTCAGGAACTCCGGGTCTAGATTACTCCAGATTGATCCTCTTTTACAATGAAACGATGATACTCAACCGTCTATATGTATTACCAAGAAATAAAAATGTATATTTTTCATCTACAGTGCCAGCTTGTGTTAGTAGAGGAGTGGTAGCGAGTATGTTCCCGCTCCATGAGAGGAACGCTCTGGAGAACCTTAGGAAGAAATGGGTGAAGACGTTGTTCTCTCCACAGCCTATTGGTAAGTTATACTGAAGTTGCTTGTATTTAGGTAACGCCCTGTTTCCCAAGGGCAAGTTTCAATAAAGTTGTCCAAGACATTTATTCATGTCCCTGGGACTTTAGTGTTCCGATGTTTTCATGGTTGTATCTACTGTAGATCCTGGCTTACAGGAGTTGCAGCGGTTTTAGGAGGTTGTGACGAGCTTGTCCCAAAAAAGGGCAAGTTTCAGATAAGTTGACGAATTTTGAATTGGAAATGTTTCAGTTAAACCAAGAGCAACTTAGTTGCAACGTAATGTTTAAGGTAAAAAAGTGAAGTGAAAAAAACGTCCAAGCTTTGAATTTCTCGAAGATCTTTAAAGAGTGTGTTTTCCTTCTGACCAATTAATTGTATGGTTAGGAAAACCACATGATTCTAAACTGTATATTATTATACCGTAAGAAAAACTGAATCTAATTCAAGCTTGTAATTTGTATTTTAGCAATAGTCGAGTATATGAGATTCATATACCTATAAATTTGACAGGAGTAATACAATATTTCCTCCTTCATACAAGATTTAACATCTCTCTATTACGTGTTTTCAGATGAGATTGGGGAATATTTTGGTGTTAAAATAGCTATGTACTTCGCTTGGCTTGGACATTACACGCGGTCGTTGACAGTACCGGCGGCCGTCGGCTTTATATTTTGGGTAAGATTTCTCTTTACCCTTTTTCGTATCTATATATATAAAAATGAATCCCTTTTTCCCTTGGTCACGGCATCACGCCTCAATGGCTGGACCTACTTCACTAATATTTTATTGTTGTATTTGTTATTATTAGGAAATGGTTGTTATGACTCCTGAAAATCCTACGGGAACCGGAGAAGACGGGATTGCGCGTACGAAGTCGCGGGCAGAAGCTATAGTAGTAGATAAATCTGTTCTATGGACATGGACCCTAATTTTTTCTTCTATGTCTTATAAACATCAAGATATCACACCTAGACAAAAGGGCTTATTCTTGAAACCAATTCCGATCGATCGACATTGGTATTGTGAAATTTCGTACTCTTGAGTTGCAACACTAGCGCCCATTACATCCGTATTGCGCGGATATTGAATGAACTAAATTGTATTGAGTTTAGCTTTATATTCCGTACTCTGAATGCTATTTTAATAGGTACGATAGGGGTTTTATAGATTAATTATTGAGATTTTATTGGAAAGTGCATTGACATTGAGATTGAGATGGGTTTCAAGAGTAAGCACCCTAGTGTAGCAGTTTTTGGATCTTACCTGGATTTAGTCGGGTCGACTGGTCGATTTTATTTAATTTTAATCAAATAACTACATTCTCACCGATTTTGTATAATATTTGAAAGGTTTATAAAATAAAGTTTCTTACATTAATATGAACTTTGTTTTCCAGATTTGGCTCGGCACAGCAAACGACAATTGGAAGGACATAGCTTATGTATTATTTTCGCTGTTCAACGTGCTTTGGGCGTGCGTGTACTTAGAAACTTGGAAGAGGTAAGTTAAATCTATATATATGTATAAATAATAATAATAATAATAATAATAAAGCCCGCAGGGCACCTTGAGGCGAGGTGACGGGCATTAGCGATCCCGCGGGCTACCATCATCCCGAGTGCTCCAGGGAGAAGTCACCGTTCCTTCTTCTCCGGCTTGCCTTAATTGGCTGGCTGGAGTGAAAGATGACAAGGAACAGGTCTCCCACCTCTGGCTTGCCTTCATTGGCCGTCCAGAGTGGAGTCGCGAGAGCAGTGAACCTGCTCGGAGGGTAAGAAACTATTCGTAAGTCGCGAGTGGGCCAGGGATGCAGGAGGCTTCGGCTGGAGCAGATGATCTGAGTAGAAAGCGGTGGTAGTTTCTTAACCCTTCAGCCACTCACATTCTCGTTGCCCCTCTGTTGCTATATCTAGCAACCATTTCCGGGGCCCGGTCGGTGAGTTGGCGAGTCTCCGCCTGCCATTTTTACGTGTAAAAATTACATTGTTTCGGCAGGTGCCATAGTCATCCATAGTTCCCAATTTACCAGTCCACAGCAACCCATCCATAGCCCTACCTTTTTTTTTTTCCATTATTCACAATAGTCCTACACTAACCGGGGACTGTCCTTGGGTGCATTTCCATAGTGCATACAGGGGTAGTCGCCGGTTTGTGTGTCCATTACAGTTAGATTAATGTTGTCTAAAGGGCCTCTGCGCAGTTGGCTTCGGCCCCTCGTACGCCTCCCAAATGACCGGGACCCTGTGGTCCCGTGAATGGTAAAGACATACATAATAATAATAATAAATTCTTTATTTCGGAATTGTACATTCCATATCTTATACTACTAGGAACAAAAAAAAAACCAGCACATACTTATATTATCTAGAAAAAAAAAAAAAAAGAAAGAAAGAGACAAACAAAAAATAAAACCAATTTATCATAAACTAAAACACAATAACAACATTAATAACATGAACAGCATTACGCTGCAATTTGCATCCATTTTTTATATACAGACGTGGCATACAATCGGTTGTGTAACTCCTTGATGATACTGTTTGTGCAAGTGCCAACTCTAGACAAGAATCCAGCGATTCGCTTTCTCTGTATAGCATTAAACGTGTCCAGCCTCGCTTCTGTGAACATACCCGACGCACTACAGTGCGGGGCAAGACCCATTAGCTGTCTGAAGATGTTATTATACTGGACACGAATACCATCCAGAGACCTCCTCGTGTAACGTGTCCAAAGTTGACACGTGTACAAACTTTGACAGTATGTTCTGAATAGGTGAACTTTCGTCTGGGAATTGGCTTTAAAGAATCTCCTAGCTATCATATTGCCAACGACTGACAATGCTCTGCGTTGTCTGTCTATGTCAGCATCGTCCTTCATATCTGAAGTCAGCATGTGACCAAGGTACCTGAAGCTTTCTACTATTCTAACAATCTGACCTCCTAGCGAAACTGGTGGGACATTAAGTGGACCTCTTCCTGATCTGAATATAAGCATTTCAGTTTTCTTCGCGTTATATACTAAATTGTGTTCTCGCGCATATTTCTCACAAATCGCCAATAGTCTTCTTATACCTTTGATTGAGGGGCTGAGCAGAACCATATCATCAGCGTAACTCAAGTTGTTGACATACCTATCACCAAGCCTAAGCCCAACTGCCGTCCCACTCAGCTCCTCAATCAAGTCATTCATGTAAACATTAAATAGATCAGGAGAGGTTAACCCACCTTGTCTAACGCCACAAGACAGCTTATAGCTCTCCGACATCGCAGTCTCCCACCTGACATTGTTAGACTGATTAGAGTACCAGTATCTAATCAATCCAACAACCCCAGCTTTCACTTTAAACCTATCTAGTTTCCTCCATAGCAGGTCGTGATTTATTGTGTCAAATGCGCGACTCAGATCAAGGAAACAAGCATAAACGCTTGTATCCTGTTCCACATACTGCGATACAACCTGTTTCAGAGAGAAAATAGCCATGTCAGTTGATACCTCAGGTCGAAAACCAAACTGCCCATCATCCAACTTAAGTGCAGGACTTAACACTTTGTGTATCAGACGCTCAAGCACCTTAGCCACTACCGTTGCCAGCGATATAGGTCTATAGTTAGACATACTAGTAACATCGCCCGTTCTGTTCTTAATTATGGGCACAACTATCGTACGTATAAGCTCTGCAGGTAGGTACTGGTGTCGCGAACAAAGATTAAAGAGTAAGGCCAAAGTATCAGCAATATACCGACCTGCGTACAGTAAGTGCTCAATACTCAAGCCATCGTGTCCTGGGGACTTTCCACGCTTCATTGCTCTGAGAACCTCCACAATATCTTTGGCTGTGACCTGAAAAACCCCCTCATCCGTTCCATAAGAACTCGACAACGGTGTATAGCTAACTGGATTTGGGGTAGTCTGTTTTAAATTGAAATGTGCACTAAAGTTGTTTGCAATATTTCCCTTGTCGGACTCACCTTGCACACTGACAGGTATACTAGTTTTAGGGTTGAGCTTTTTAACTTCTTTCCAAAAGCCACCAAAATTTTTCGACGAAGCGTGCTGCGCTAATATACTCATTTTAATTTTCTCTTGATTATTTTGAACAAATTTTAACGCATGTTTAAACTCTTTACGAGCTATGCGCATTTGATCGAAATAAAACCCTGAACGCGGCCTACCATATGTATTCCACTGTAAGAAAGTTTGCCTTGCCTGGACATGGTACTGTCTAACATGATAATTCCAACCAATTATATACCGCTTCGTATTAGCTTTGGTAGCATATGTGCGCTCAGCAGCAGTTTGTAATACATTAACTATATCACAATAGAGTTTATCAATGATACTTAGATGTTTTACATCATTACATAACATACTAATATTACATGACAAGTTATACTCCTCACATCTATACACTAAACCCAAATTTTCAGTACATATTTCACAGTATTTATCACATTGATCCTTGTTTCTAACACCCCACTTATACTTTAAATTGCAATCAGTCTCAGTATCTAAAATCAGTCTTTTACAAATAATATTGCTTAATCTTACCTGTATTACTAAAGGTAGGTGATCAGATAGATATGCATCATATAGTACACTAACATTACATACCGATGGTTCAGCCGCAGCGGACACCAGGCAATGGTCGAGCCATCTCTGCGAGCCCGAGCCATCACTTACAAATGTATATGTGCTTAAATCTAATTTCTTAGAGTCAATACATGATAACAGTTCTTCAGTACAGTAATCCATAAGCTCTTTGTAAAAACGCGTACCAGGGTGAGCGTTAAAGTCCCCTAACACGAACACACTTTCGACATCCGCACTATCAATTACCGCACTTATATTAGCGAGACACTGTGCCATTACCGGGAAATTGTCTTCACAATCGGTAGGCATGTACACACTAAATACTAATATACTTCGATCATCACGCACAAGCTTGACCGCAACCATACGATCATTGTTACACTGCACAATATCCGCGCTAGGGAATATGTTCCGGTCCCATAGGAGAGCAACTCCCCCGTACGGCCTTCCACGCACCACGCCTTGCTCCGTGTCTACAGCAGATATACCATGACAACCAAATTGTTTGTGTATGGTATGTAACAACCCCAAATCATGGGGAAACAGCCACGTTTCTTGCAGGGCTACTACGTGATGGTTATTACATAATTGAACCACTTCTTGTAAAGATCTTTTGAGTGATCTACAGTTATATGTGACAAGCTTAATGTTTGAACAATCCATCTTAGTTCTGTGTAGGTTCTGTGTTTGCCGTTGATTTAGTTACAGTTGACTGCCTGTTAATACTCTGTTTACGTTCCCAGAATTTCCTAAAAACAATGTCAGCTGGCCAGAAACGATCACCGTTATCATTTAGAAACAGGTCGACACTACTTAAAGGAACTATTACCTTGTATGCATTAAACTCGTTATTTACGTTGTTTATCTTAAACACTTGCACATCAAGGTCGGTCTTGTATTTAATAAAAGCCTCAATATTACTGGCGGTCGTATCCTTATGTACTCTAGAGATATATAAGGATATTTTTCTCTCAGCAGCCTTAAAGTTAAATTGTTCCAACGGTTGCGCGATTCCTCTCCTATTCATAATTTTACGACGTTTGTATTGTACCGTTGACCATTCATCGTTAGTCGGTTTACCAGTAGAACGCATAGTCTCCTTAACAGTCTTCTTAACAGCATCCGCCATAGTGTACGGTCGCCTATCAGCTGATAACATAACGCCCAAGGCACCGGGCACAGGCACTATCTCCCGCGCGGCGGCGATATGTTGCTCGCTGCGCACCACACCCCCCCCGCTACGTATGTCTCGCTGCTCCCGTCGCACGACAATTGCTGTTTCACGCGACGTAGGAGACGGCGCTCGCTCACTGTCTCGCGCCCTCTCCCCCCCCCCCCGCGCTGCTACCGCGTCGCATGCATCTCTCGGCGGCCGATCGAAATCGAAATCAATACTTTCCGAGAATATTTCCTCACCCTCCTTATCAATTATATTTATGGAAGGTATGTTGGACATAATTGTCGTTTTCGATAACTCATGAGTATTTTTACTTGCGTTAGTCGACAATGCATTTTGAACTAAATCTTTTAATTGTTGAATTTCGAGCTTTATAGACGCCATCTCTTCGTTAGCCGCATGCGAAGATGCTTCTGTAGTTTCTCTCCGCAAGCTGGCGACTTCTTTCTTAAGTAACAACATTTCCTTTAGGAAGGTAGTCACATCTATGTGATCAAAGGTGACCGGCGGCAATTTATTGAGATCTTTGGCCACGAAAATCGGTAGACAATCAGGGTCCGATTCTTTCAAGATCTTTACTATTTCTTGCACACTCTTCGGTTGATTACCTTCCTTTCTTCTCATAATCTTCTTGGAAGGTGCCAGTACCTTGTAAACAAGTTGCCGGGCACTTTCAATATCCGCATCGGTAAACGCACTCAAACATATTTGTACGATAGCTGTCTCGGGAAGTGTGTCTATTTTGTTACACACGAATGCTAACATTTCACTTACTATAACATTACACGAATTACATTTCATTTCGGTTTCACTGGGATCTCGTTGCGGAGATCGCGACATGGCGCCAAAACCGCGGCGCACGGCGCGCGCACACACTCACGCGTCTAGTCGCAACGACACCGCTGCGCGGACATTAAAAGAAAGTCGTGTTAGTGACACTATTTATAACCCAAGAACGGCTAAATCAATTTGGATGAATATTGGTGCGGATGTAGCTGAGAACCAGCAACTGTAGCCAAATGTCATTTAGCGCTTGTCTACATGTAGAATAGAACACCAAATTATATGGGATTGACGTAAATTTTGACAGTAGTCCGTGTCATCCCCAAACATTTAGTTTTCTACTCTCTCTGTAGACAAGCGCTAAAGTGGCGTTTGGCTAAAGGCACAGGAGACTGACATAGCATACTTTTTATCAAATATTTTTTTATTTAACTATTTATTATAAACACGAACGGAACGGGAAAAAAACGGGATTGGTCGTACGAAGTCTCGGCCGAAGCTAGTTTAAAACATTTGTTAAACCGCAGTGTCTTATAATGAAGATAATGTATAAAATTACTATTCGATTTCAGGTATTCAAATGTGCTTGCATATAAATGGGGAACATTGGATCAAAGAGATGAGTTGCTGGTTGAACCGAGACCATTATTTGAGGTAAATTTGAACTTATTACTATTTATCATGTATGCGCGGAAACTTGTGCAAAATGATTAATGAAATTGTGTCGTGTACACTGTATAGGTACCTATGAGCCGAAAAGTATTAGTTTTTGAAAAGAATGAAAGTAATTATTGCTAACACTAATTGCATAGGCTAATTTATTTATTATATTTTTTTCGAGTTTCGAGGAATTGGACTAGTTTCAAGCCATGCTAGAGGCTCATATTTATTAGCAGCATTTCGCGACACAACGCAGCGACCGCCGCGTTTCTACTTATTTAGTATGTCTTATAAAAGTTAAAATAGAAAAAAAAAATGCCACTAGGTATGATGCACCAAATACACAAACAAAGGAACAGCAACATTAAACACAATAAAAAATATATAAAAAGTAATAATATTAAAACAACAAGGTAGAGCAACATGTTCAAGCCAAAAGGGCTTGTATGAGCTGGGCGCAATAAGTACCCAACATTGGTTTTCAGTTGGCATCCTTAATACAAATTGCATCTATAGGCGCTCTAACGTCGCGTATATTTTATACATAACAACACTTCATATGTGTGAAATCTAACCTTAAGACAGTGTTTCAGATTAACAACCCCTTTCAGGAAGGGGGGGGGGAAGGGGGAGCAGTCGTGTTGGTTTAAAAATGAAAGAGTTCTATTTGTTTTGGTGGGCAGGGCGAGATGAGTACAAGCAGTGTGACGGGGCGGCCGGAGCCGGTGTACGCGGCGTGGCGGCGGCGCGTGTGGAGACACTGCGTGTCGGTGCCGCTCATGGGCGTCTGTCTGTCCGTCGCCGCCGCGGCTACCTTCGCCTTGTTGAGGGCGCAGGTATGTGAAATACTATATTCTACTAGCGGACCCAACAGACGTTGTCCTGCATATCCACTTGAATGTATCAACAAAAATTCATTCAAATTAGTTCAGTTGTTTAGGGTTAATAACCTAAACATAACTGCAGCGCCATCTGCCGGGCTGATTTGTGAATCTAAACCATTCCCAGATCCCCTTGAACACACACAAAAAAATTCATCAAAATCGGTCCAGTCGTTTGATAGAAGTTCAGTGACATACACACTCACAGAAGAATTATATATATAAAGATGTACAAAGTAGGTTTGTAACGGAACTTCACATCCGCCTCCACCTCCATAAAATATATGCGGAGTTATAACGGAGGTGTATTTACGTTAGGGGGCGTCCATAAATTATGTGAGATGTTTAAGGGGGGAGGGGGTAGACTGAAATCTCCTCGATTCTTACGTTGGAGAGAGCAGGGTCTCGGCAAATATCACGTAATTTTTTTTCTTTTTACAATAACAATGCAACGCGTTTACGTGATAAATCATGCACCTCTGCCTACCTTTTCGGAGATAAAAAGGCGTGATATTATGTTATGTTAACTATCATTAAATAGACACTCTTTAACAATTTGTTAATCTCAAAACAATTTGTTAAACGTAAAAGAATTTATCTTTCAATTTATAATTTCTTTACAGGACTGGTGGGAAACAAACATAATATATTTCACGTGGATACCTCGAGCGTTGCTCGCTATAATAATCGCGATCGAGGAGGAAGTATACGCCAGAATAGCGAGGTGGCTCAACGACAAAGGTAATGTCCTTTTCTTTGTAATATAAACCCTAATTTGTGTGGAAGAGAGTTCAGTTTTGTCCAGTTTTTGTTTCGTTCGTGTGTTTGTCTTGGGTCAGTGGACTTATAGTCCCGTTCTCTTAAGATTTAATGTTCCCTTGCACTCCCCCAAAAACCTATGAACAATAGATTTAGCTGTGTAAGCGTACATTGTTTGTCAAGTCCATAATATTGAAACCTGTTACCTGAAAATATAGGGATTTTAAGTTTCCCGTGTGTACGGCGCGTCGCGTTCCGCGCGTGCCTCAAATAGCCATCAGGCCACCACGGATGGAGCCCAATAGGGCTGATGCCGATACAAAATCCCGGAGAACCTAACGGGTTACCGGGGCTCCGGCTCGAAGTGCATGAGTAGGAACGGGGTTGTATTTGGTCAGTAAGAGTCTGACACTCCCTCCCGCCTCACTCAGTTGGGAGAAGTTATTCGATGATTTTCCCCCTTAAAAAAGGGATTAGGTTTAAGAAATAAAAAAATGACGGTTTTTAAACAACATAGCAGTAATTTTCCGTAGGTTTTATCTTCTGATTATTGGAAATTGTAGATTATCCACATAATAGTAGTAGTTACAAGTTGAATCCAATTATCACTGTTCTGATTGGCAGAGCAATTGCTTCTATTTGCCGCCATTATCAAATAAATATTTCTTTTTTTCCACCACTGACCTAAGAACATTTTACATTGTGACGTTATGTTTTGTGTGTATATTTTGTTTGGTTTGGATACAAAATACAATTATCAAACGAAGTGTGATTCTAATATCTTTCCCGTAGGTAATATAGTTAGTCGGTACCAAAGATTGTTGAATTTTACAAGTAAATCGATTTTATGGTACGTGTTGCCTTATTGCACATTCATAGGGAACCATTCCTATTAAAATAGATTCCGAATTTTTTAAGTTGTACGGTTTACGCAAAACTGTTCGACAATGTTACTCGACTAGTTACAAGTCATGCCAGGGGCCCATAATGACGCGTTACAACTGACCCGGTTAGAGCTGCTCAGTTAGACTACTCGAGCGACCTCGTCGAACAGTTACGTAAGCAGTACAGCTGAATTCATTGAACACCTAATAATTTCAATATTTATATCCTAAGTATGTGCAATAAGGCATTTTGTATTTCAAAAACCTTGCATGATATTTAGTTTTGAATATATTAAAATTTTCTTCGTATAGCAATATTTAGAATATGAATTTATTTAAATAATACTCTTAAATAGTTGATTAATCGAAATTTAAATAGATACATAGTTTAGTACGAATAATCAGTAGCTTAACACAGTGTGTAGAGGATATACTATAGAGCATATTATTTTTTCTCTTTACTGCTTACCAAACGGGACTGGATACAACTCTAAATAAAATAAAAAACAAAAAATACGGTAACACTGAATTGTGACGTCATTTTTTGAAACAGAAAACTATCGACTCGAGACAAAGTATGAGAATCACCTGATTGTGAAAATAGCATTGGTTTGTATTTATAAAATGCTGTAAAAAACTAACGCCATACTCAAAAGCTAAGCTTCCATCACGCTTTGCTTCATAGTAACGGAGCAGGTTTTAACCAAACATATGAAGATTGGTAAATCAAAATGAATCTGAAAGCACAGTGATATAGTTTGCACGCTGTTTTCTTTTCGCTTGCATGAGGATTAAGTTGTGTATTAACGTTCCTTGCTTGTATTATCAACAAAAGAGATTTTAAAGGCCCTAATTGAAATTTTGTAGTGCGCTAATTTTGCGCAAAATTCCATCTCTGCAAGAGTTTAGCGCAATAATTTTGACGTTTTTGCGCAACTATAAAATTGTTATAATATTATGTCTTTTGTTGATTGTACATGTATTAAATATTATTTTCTTAAATTACCAACATAATAACAACATAGCACTTCTGTGCGTTCTAAAATTCTTACTTAGTTTATCATTATTTCTTTGGGCCTTTTTTAACTTACTACTTATCTATGTGAGTTCATATTCTTAACCCATACTCAACTCTATGGGGGAATGTAGACACTATTATATCTTGTAATGTAAATAACCTCAGGAATAATATGATTAATATTTAATAACATAAAATTGTATAGCCTTAGCCTATAATATGTATGTCATAAAATAGAAGAAAAAGTCAATTTCAACACTTTGTTACTCATGTTGAAAGGCCTTAGTAAAATTATTTATGTTGTCAGTCGTGCAAACACTACTTAAATGTATATTAAAACTTTAATTTAAATCATAAATAAATTCATTGTTAAAGTACTAGTGACGTAGTCGTGAATAGTTCGCTTTTGATGTTGTTATTATTGATTTTTAAAATAATGTTAATTGTTTTAATGTTTTATTTCAGTTTCAATTCGTCAACTCGTTCATGAGTTTGTTTTATATCGCGTTCTACCTGCAGGATATGGATAAATTAAAAGAGGTGAGTTTTTTTTCATAATAAGTATTATTGAATTCTTAGATTGCGGAAATTCTTACTATTGAATCCGGCTACCGATTTTCACTAGATGTCGCTCTTGAATTATTTAATTTCTAGCATTTACATTCAACAAAGAGTTAACATTAGGCCACATTAGCGAGGTCTGTGCCTTTAGCCACTTAGCTAGCGCTTGTCTACAAAGAGCGTAGAAATCAAAATGTATGGGGATGACACTAACAAGTATCAAAGTTACGTCAATTCCATATAATTTGGTTTTGCTACTCTACAAGTAGACAAGCGCTAAATGACATTTGGCTACAGCTGCTGATTACTAAAGAAGTAGATCTTATTGTGCTCAGTTGATCTAGTACAATGGAAGTAAAGTGGCTGCTAACATTTAAAATATGTATGTGTGTTGACAACACAATATACTAAACAAATATGTTGTCTTTCAGTGAAATACGACTACCAAAATATATAAATTTTCTGTCCAGCTTGTAAACTGTACATTTTAGTGATTTTGAATGACAAAGAAGTTTTTTTTTCTGTAAAATCCCTTCAGTCTGTATCCCTTATATTTCATTTCCAGCAACTAGCAGTGTTGTTGATAACGCGACAAGTGATCGGTAACCTCAAAGAGTCTGCGTTACCATATCTGATTGAGAATCTGAGGCTCGCCAAGATATGTGTCGACGTGTTTGGGGCTATCAGTCCTAGTAAAAGTAAGTTTAATTCTATGGATTGTCAGTATGCATAATATGTGAGCACCATGTTGGACTTCAAGATTTTTTTTTTTAATTTTAGTAAGTTATTAGTATAATGCGTCAAGCATGTCTTTGCATTGTTCTTACATATGCGTACAGTATTGAAATATGTATCAGAGACATTGTAGAACATACTTTTTTAAAAAGAGTAACGAATGGAGTTTCTGGCTCGTTCTGCTCGATTCGAATCTACTTTTTGGAATGAGCACCTAGCTTCACCTAGTTTCACTGACGGACTGACTGACAGACTATTATTTATTTTGCATTTGTTGACGTTTCAAAAGTACCAAAGTATGGTTTAATTGAAATAAATGCTTTGACTTTGACTTTGTTGAAATTACTTTATCTTATAATAATATATTGTCTGGTAATATGACTCATTTTTGTTTAATGTTAACAGTTTAGGGCATTTCAGATGATTGATAGCATCAGATTTGGTCGAATAATGTTGTATCCGAAACTTAAGGTCTCCAAATTATTTGAAAGTTTCAAAATAAATTTTGAGAATAAATCAGATTATGAGATTATGAGAAAATTTAACTAAAGTACTATGGTACTTTACTGTGTCCCAAGAGATCATTATTACAAGAAATGATGTCATAATTACCGAAAATGGTCTTACATCTAATGTACAACTACTTATCCTTTAAAGAAAGGCGTAATGTTGTATACGTCATTTCGTTTCTCTCCTAACAGTACCGACATCAGCCCAGTTAACAGAGCTATTCGACAAGAAGACGGACTCCTCGGGCGATCCGCCAGAGAACAGCCTCGTGAACGGAGGCACGGACAAGGAGAAGGACGATAGAAGGGACTCCGAACCTATCGTCGGACAGAAAGTCATACATCAAGCTGAGTTGGAGTCGCAGCTGTTTAGGGTATTTAGTAATTTGTTTCATGGCATACCCGGTAAACGTGCAGACGTATCACCTGATGGTAAGCAATCGGCGTCGCCCATGGACACCTGGAACACCAGAGGCGTTACAAGTACGTTATCGGCCTTTTGGGGATTAGGAGTTTGAGGATCGTTGGGAATTCAGGAATTGAGGAAATTGGGGAAGGGGAGGGTAATTGGAAAATATAACTAGAATATATTTTAAGCACGAGGCTTCTGAATCAATTAGTCATTAGAGTAAATATGAAGACAGAGCTTACCAATGTAATTTTTTTTTTTGACAAATCTAGTATGTCTGCCCTATAAGATTCAAATATTTTCCTCTGCATAAGCAGCTGATTTTCGTGAGAATATGTGGTAATTTTGTGAGTGGGATTATATCTGGCTGTTGTGAAACGTGTCGGGGTCGATTCCTGCATCAAACAAAAGTGCTTATGAATTTGTTTGATTAAAATTACAATTTTTAGCTCGAAGTCCGGAAATTCGGTACACGAAACCTATTGATCCTATGGTCAACAATTCAGACGAATTAAGACGTCTGATCTCCTTCTGATCATGTTGGGCAGCCGACCTATTGAATTAAAAGAGTGAAGGAATAAAAAGTGCACTTATAATTGCGCATATACTTGTGCACTATAATATCTCCTGCAATCAAAAGACAGTCTGGCCACTATGACTGCTTTCGATGCTTTTCTTCCAATAATTATTCATCTTCTCCATCTCTCCACAGTACGACGGCACATTTGCGGAATATTTGGAAATGCTAACACAGCTAGGCCACGTAGTTCTGTTTTCGTCCGCCTTCCCTTTGGCGGCGGTGTGTGCGCTGCTTAACAACGCGGCTGAGATCAGAGCTGATGCGTTCAAACTGTGTCATGTCGCGCAACGACCTTTTGGGGAACGAGTCAAAAGTATCGGGAGTTGGCAGGTATGTGCTGATATTTTTTGTTTGATAGTTCTAGATATACAGTACTGGTGATACATATTGCACATCGACAGAAAGAGCCAATTTCTTGTGATATTAGTTTTATTTTCGTACTTTAAATAAATCCTACTTGAAGTAGTCTTACTTGTAATTCTAAAGCAAATTCACGATTAGTTGCGTGGCTAATGAGAGAGGTATCTGGAGTTTGGCCCCTGTGTTCAGCTCTGTGATTTGTTATTAAATTTCGAATATTATAATATTTCACTTATAAAACGAATTTTGAAGTAATCGTTCCCTGGTACAGAGGCCTTAGTACGAGATTGTTTTGAGTACGTGTTTTGGTTGGTTCATTGTAACCGGCCAACCAGAGCGCCGAACGTGGTCTCGTCTCGATTTTTTTATGGCTTAACTCGTCGAGTACCGTATTTATAGACACAATTAAAGAACAATAGGTTGCGGTCACCGGTGACCGCTTGGTGTTTGACAGTTTAAACCGGTAAACGAGCAGTCGGATCACCTGATGGTAAGAAATCGGCGCATGCCCATGGACACCTGAAACGCGACACACGAGTGCGTTACCGGCCTTTTTGCGAATTGGGAATTTGTGGATTGTGGAGGATTCGGGGATTGGGGAGACTGGGGAGGGTCATTGGGCCTCCGGTAACCTCACTCACACGACGAAACACAACGCAAGCGTTGTTTCACGTCGTCTTTCAGTGAGGCCTTTTGTTAGTAGAGTTTTGTGGTATCACTCCGGTCGAGCCGGCCCATTCATGCCGAAGCATGGCTCTCTCATACTTTATCGATTACTTTCAACGTAAAACAAACTTGTACTAAGGCCTCAGACAACTTGAATTTAATTGTTTTGAACGAAAAATGGCTTTTGTGTGGACTTTCGTAAGTTTGAATATGCCGTAGCATTAAATGATACTATTTAACTAAGAAGTGGTAATTTATAATCTGTTTTGTCCCCCAGCACGCTATGGAAGCGATGGTAGCAGTAGCCGTTCTAGTAAACTGCGCACTCATAGGTCTCTCCGGTCCAGTACACCGTATGCTACCAGACGCAACTCCCGCGCAGACCATACTCGTCATTGTGGCGCTTGAGGTAAGAGCCAAATTGCTATGCCACAGTTTTTAAGAAATCCTACATTTATTTCTTTTGTAGACCTTAAGGATTTCTGGTGTATATGGATAAAAGAACCGTTGTAATATTCATGAATAATTAAAGAAATGTAACTCTCAGATTTAATATTCGGTTGCCGGGGCTCCGGCTCGAAGTGTAGGAGTAGGAACGGGGTGGTTTTTAGTCAGTAAGAGTCTGACACTCCCTCTCGCCTCACCCGGGCGGGAGAAGTCATTGGACGAATTTCTCCCCACAAAAAAAAATAATTAAAAGAAATTAATATTTGTTTGAACGAGATTTGAAGTGATACAGCTTATTATATGCTACACATTTGGATATTCGTCATGAAATACTAATACATAGTTAGAAATTGGCAAGATTCTGATAACACAAGTTCAATGAGATTAGTGAATTGCCTTGTTCACGAAGGCAAAGATAAAATATCTCAATACAATTTGTTCAACGTAAACTTATCTAATCGCATCGCGTTGTAATTTAATGTTCTTAAGAAATTACTGAAATAATCTGTCATAAGAAGAAATTATCGATAATCGGATTTATAGTTAAACGTTTTTATTTTACATAACTCATTCAATATACTCATTACAATACTTATAATGAATTTTTACATCCTATTTCCATGATAAAACCTACCCTGATTCGAATTTGATTTGTCCAAAGAAAGTATTATCATAATTCTGCCTACAGTATTTAAAAATTCAGTATTTATTATTTAACTGGCTAGAATAAGAATTTTAGGGTACCTACAACATCTTTTATTTCATTTTTCCAACATAAAAGTAGCCTAATTTACTCCTTAGCACATCAGCTAACCGCCAGTAAAAGTCCCGTCAAAATCGGTCCAGCCATTAATGCTCAAACCTTTTCCGTGTGAGGAAAGGCTTTGCTCAGCAGTGGGCATTATAGGCTGTTGATGTGTGTAATTGTCCCTTTGCAAACACTATCTATAAATACCCAAATATGTATGTATATTTCTGTACGTATATTTCAGCATGTAATCCTAGTGATAGTATTGGCTCTGCGCATCGCCATACCGGAGATACCAGCGTGGTTGGCCACTGAGATGGCGAAGGTCGAGTTCCAGAGACGAGAGGCCATTAAAAACGCGCACGCTCCGCTTATGGTGAGTTTAATTAAGCACAATGTCATTTCAGTCCTCGTTACTTGATTTTAATGTTGCCATTTAAAAGCGGGTAGTTTTCAGGGTATCAAAATTAAAAATCTAATTAGTCCGTCAGTTATATAATGACAAAATATTAAACACGTACCTATTTTTTTCTTTTCTTGTATTAAGTTGCAATACTTAGATAAAATGGCGCTAAGTTTAGGAGTGGGAGGTTGTTACGTCACAACGTGCTACAAAATGTGTCACGCTATAACATCACACCATATTTCAAATTAATATATCTTCGAATGTATTTAATTTAGTGAGAAAAGAAAAAATACGTGTCTAAAGTTTTAAATTAATGTACCAGTCGGACATTAAAATGGAATTTAGGAAACTACCCTAATGTGAACATTTTAAAATTTTGCTCAGTCATAGTACTTAGTTTAAAGTTGTTCCTCTTGTATTCTTCTCTTGTCTCATGAAGTAAACATACATTTGTAAAAATTGTAACATACATTATATATCCCCATAGAAGTTAAAAAAAGATTCAAATTAAAAATTATTTATTCATTGTAGATCAAAGACATGACGTCATGTTTTGAAATTAAAAACAGTATTATGTGTAATTCGTTTAATAACAATTCGTTTTTTTAATTTTAACCCTGTAAGTCTGAATGCACGAGTCAAGACGATGTACGCCCATCGGCTCGTAATACCCCGCGGACGGTGACACCCACTACACCGAAGCAACCAGCCAATGACAAGGCAGCAGCTGACAAGAAGAAACTCTTCATTGGGAAAATACCTGAAATACCGCCTTTCAGGTAAGTGACTTGTAAAAATTGTAGTTATTGACTTTAATTAATACGTTGACCTAAGTCACGTACTTTTTTCGATTCATGGTTATGAGCACCAGTGTGGCTCGTAACTAATCGAGCACCATCGAACAGGTACCTACGTGAGGATGCAGTAAATATTTTTAAATTAAATGTTAGTTTCTTTTAGAAACAGTTCTATAGAAACGACATTTAGTGAAATAAAGTTTTATAAATATTTTCTTATTAATATTCGTATTATTCGATCAATAAGATCCTTTCTTAAACATAGCCAGAAAGCTTTAACGGATTATATCCTTTAATTCCTTCTGTATAGAGTCTAAAATCCTACAAAAGATGTACTAACTCAACTCTCTCTGAACACTAAGAAGTTTACGATGCCACAGAACCTTATTATATGTATAGTTTATGAACGTTTAGTACATATCTATTACAGCTCATTCGAATCATCGCAGCAAGGCTTTGAACCCGCATCCTAAGAATTTTAATTTTATTATTTTTTTTGTTTTCAGTTAATTTGGCACAAGTATTAAAGATGGATGGGTGTGTAGCGATATATTATTTAAAATAAGTTTTATTCCTTAACAGTTTACGCTTGTTTTTTAATATTTAATGTTTTGTTTTTTTGCAATAAATATTTTAACTGTCATAGAAGTTTTTCTTGTGATTCCTAGTTGCGGTTGACAGGTCATTTTATTGGCTTCGTCTAGGCTTTTTTAGGATAGACAGATGTTTAAATTATTTAGTACTAGCGACCCGCCCCGGATTCGCACGGGTGCAGTATGCATATACATATTATACATATAAACCTTCCTTAAGAATCACTGTATCTATTATAAAAAAACCGCATCAAAATCCGTTGCGTAGTTTCAAAGATCTAAGCATACATAGGGACTGACAGGCGGCGGATAGCGACTTGGTTTTATACTATGTAGTGATTTGATACATTTCAAATCTTTGTTACGAGTTTACTCGTTAAAGTTAGCTGATAATTCTCACAGACATCGGAAGTCAAATATTTCGTTAATCGATTTTCAGCTTTCAGTTAAAAAGATAAGATTTAAATCTGTTGAAGATACTCGTAACGTATTGAAAGAATTGTATCGTTATCAATGTCGGGACTCGGGACTTCCCTCTAGTAAAGTTAAAAGATTAGAGACCCCACAAACTCACAAAATCAACTTTAAACTATAGCAAGAAGGTTGAAATTGTATTGTTAAAGATTACTAATCTGTCTATCCTACAATGAAAACAACATTTGACACACCTGTATTATACAACAACAAATGTAAAATATGTACAGTGGCCAGCAGATCAATCTACTACAGTCTGTCAAATTTATTCATTGGATTTTCGACTTTATAACAATACTATAAAGTCGAAGATGTAATAAAGATATTTGACGTAAATAGATAGGTTAGCCTGCCACCGTACTGAAATGACCTGTTGATCCGAGATCTCTCGTCTATCTTTCTGCAATGAAAAGGTAATGAACCACTGTGTGCCTGTATCCTGTTCTATGTACCTTGTACCTTCGCTAAGCCATCACCCATCTTTCGCCATCCTATGTTCTATCTGTATATTTGTATGTAAAGAGGGCTACCGTGTTTTTTTGGCTCGTAAGGTAACGTGAGGTCTGTTTGTCCAATAGAAAGAAACAAAGAAAGATCATTGGTTTGTCAATAAACATACATAACAACATAAAATCACGCCTTTTATCCCCGAAGGGGTAGGCAGAGGTGCACATTATGCCACTGTACAATGTAACACCCACTTTTCACTATTTATGTTATGAGTCCCATGTAATAGGGGGTGAGCCTTTTGCCATATACCACAATTCCAGACTCCGAGCTTCTACTGAGAATTTTTTAAAAACCCAGTAGTACTTTGCCCGACCCGGGAATCGAACCCGAGACGCCTTGCCCGGCAGTCGCACTTGCGACCACTCGGCTAACGAGGCAGTCGTCAAACATGCGTTTAAATAAACTGAGTAGTCAGATATGCAGGCTATATTATAATATAGTTTGTTGTGCGTCCATGTTTCGCCAATAGTGGTGTACTTTGTAGGTATAAAAACTATATTCAATCTCAACAGCAACTTGTACAATAATAGTCATGATTAAATTTCATTACAAAGATAAATAAGAAATAGAGGACTTAGTTATCGTACTTAGTTCATCAGTCAACAATAAGTGATTTTTACTAATAATCACACTTTCATTCATTGATTTGGAAATATACTTAATTTATAACTAGCTAATTGTTAAGAAATAAGTATGAAAGAAAGAAAAATCATTTATTCAGCACCAGCCACGATGGAGCTTAAATAAAATATAAAAAAGACAATAAAAGTGTGACAGTGGAAGAATCAAAACATTGAGTTGAAAGATTAAAACAGAAGAATTATAAGAGAGACGCTGACAACATGCTATTTGATGCGAAAATACGATGACGTCTTAGGTTACGTTTGCGATCTCACACAAAATTCATAGAAAAGCATAACGTTTGACATTTTGAAAAATATTGAATTCGTCTAGTTTGCAATAACTAGTGTCAACCATTGGACTTTTAATTTTTAACAGCTTCAGTATGTTGATTGGACTAACAGGTCTTATGCTACATTACTCCCACCTAGTGAGCAAAAACGGTAGTTCTCATTGTGTTAATAAACGCGCACTTGCGCTAATAATCTTTTTTTATTATACCCCTAACACTTGTATTTAACTTTCAGCACTTTTCACGTTTCCCTGACACGGATTGAGTAGAAAATGGAGTGTGAACTTTACGTTGTTATGATTTCACGTACGCTGTTTGAAAACGCTTGTTTATAATACGGGGACTATACACATTACACAAGTCTTCGATATTTAACAATGGCATGGATTATTATTTTTTTATTTCATTCACAAAGATACATAATTTAACATTTGCTAAACTGAATAATAATTTGCCGGCGGTAGATAACAATGCTTTTAATTTAATCTTATTTAGCATTGCAACTGAGGTGATCAATATTGCAATAACACGAGTAAAAGATATTATAATGATAACGCATAAAAACATGTCACGACTTTAATTACACTTGTTATGACATGTTCAACAACTTCTAAATAATTTAATCACACTCCATTACCTACTCACCCATATTCCAAAAGCGTACTAAAGCTTGCATTCCATCCTATACATAATTTTGTGACCCTGATATTCTTCCACATAAAATTGCAGGCCTAAAGCGGCGTCTATTACGACGACTTCAGAACCACCGGTGACAGTCACGGGGTCTTTGCAGGCGTTACCTGATGTCAGTCCTACCAAGCCTATACGACGTAAGGTAGAGTGATCTAATAATTGTAAGGTTGTAGTACTGTAATTATGAGTATAAGTTTCAAGGTCTATTTTCTTCTAAAGTCCATTCTCAATACCCCAGCTGTTGGTAGATTAGATTTTAACACGTTTTATGAATTAAAACTAAAAATCGCGGGTTTCTCACGTAAAAGCTCTACTCGTTTCGAATAGTCTGCGCGACATACTTCGCCGCGAACGCGCACGTCGCTCATGAGGAAGAGCCCCTCTGAGGCTGGAAAATATGTAGTAGAGCTTTTCTAGGCATATTCACGTGAGTAACCCACGATTTTTAGTTAATTTAGTATGTCTCACGATAGTTATTAAAAACAAATGCTATTTTCTATTACATCTCTGAAACTTCTCGTTCATATTTTTAAACAACCAATTTATTCTCAGGAAGCGACACCAGGCGCTCCGCTCTCACTACTGGGCGTCCGCGGGCTTAGAGACGAACCCTTACACAGGTCGGCGCACTGTATCCCACACCCCACGCAACATCGACCGCTTGTCAACCCTACGTTACAGGTAAAAATATGCTTTTAATCACATATCCTCGTCATCAGGAGAAATGTACGTAAATATTGAGTCCAAACTCGATATGTATAGCCATCAAACCACCACGGATGGGACCCAATAGGGCTGATGCCGATACGGCGCCGCGGAAGACTTAACGGGTTGCCGGAGCTCTGGCTCGAAGTGCAGGAATAGGAATAGGGTGGTTTTTAGTCAGTAAGAGTCTGACACTTTTCCCGCCTCACCCGGGCGGGAGAAGTCATTGGATGATCCCCCTCAAAAATCTCGATATGTTTACTAGTAGGCAGTCTAATCATTTCCATCAGTCGCGGAGAACCTAACGGGTTACCGGGGCTCCGGCTCCACCTGCAGGAGAAGGAACGGGGTGGTTTTTAGTCAGTAACAATCTGACACTCCCTCCCGCCTCACCCAGGCGGGAGCAGTCATTCGATGATTTTACTCCCATAAAAAAAAATCATTTTCATCAGACACCTTCCAACCCCATTAACAAATCAGTTCGATACACACCACAGTTCGTACATGAAGTTTATTATATCAACAACAACAAACAGTATTGCATTACAATATTTTTATTGCTTTAGGAGTTATCAGGCAGTGTAAGTGCAGGGGGTTCCGAGCCGGACTTGAACGCAGTGCCTTCGTCAGCACCCTCAATTGACGCCAGCGCCACCTCTAGCGAAGATGACAAACCTAAGGATAAAGGCAGTAAGTAACATGCGTACTGTTGTACGGCCGGCTATAATGAACCAACCAATCACAATTTCGCACGCGGTCTTGTTTCGAGTACTTTATACGTAAAACAATCTCGTGCTAAGGCTTCTGAGTACCAAGCACGAATAACTATCGCAATCGTAACGTAATAGTATCGAGTACGTTCGGCGCTCTGATTGGTCGGTTCCAGTAAACCAACCAATCAGAGGGCCAAGCATGAATAACTATCGCATTAGTAACGTAATAGTATCGAGCGCGTTCGGCGCTCTGATTGGTCGGCACAAGTGAATCAACCAATCAGAACGCTTAACTCGCTCGATACTGTTACGATAAGAATGCGATAGTTATTCGTGCTTGGCCCTCAGAGCGCCTAACGCGCTCGATACTATTACGTTACGATTGCGATAGTTATTCGTGCTTAGTAGGTACTCGGTTCGCAATATTCCTAACGGCTAGTTTCAATAACCTATCTATTTGTATATTACCTTACTAGAGATACAATTTTGACACATTTTGTATGGAGCTTATGTCAAAATTCTTCAAATATTTTCCCGTTCACTCGAGTACATACTATAATGTTGTATGGTCTGTGTCCCAGGTCGTTCCCGCGCGAAGGCAGCGTTGGTGAAGCGTGTCCGTTCAGTGGCAGTGTTCTCGCTGGGCCTGCGGCGCGCGCGCGAGGCCGCCGCCCACTCGCACGCGCACGACGCGCGCTCGCCCGTCAACACGCCCGTATGTATACTCTATACGCACTTTTATTTCTTTTTGTAGGTCATTATGTCCTTGAAACATTATTGGCTGTTTTACCAACCATCTCTTAATGAAAAGCTGCCGAAACGCTGACAAAATGAAATTTACAGTTATTGTTTTCGTATTTTTCATGCATCATCAGCCTTGAACAGTTGATTACTACTATTATTACATAACTTACTTTTATAAAAATGAAACATGTTATTTAAAAGTATTGTTGTTTTTTTTTAATTCTTTGTAGTACCACAGAATCTGGAATTGCGCCCGGTATATGGCAATAGGATCACTCCTTATTACATGCGACTTATAACATAAATAGTGAAAAGTTGCTGTTATGTTGTACAGTGGCATTAAGTGCCGTAATGTGCATCCCTGCCTACTATTTCGGGGGTAAATGGCGTGATGAGTTTATTTTTATTTCTCCTAACTTACAGTTACTTATGCTGATGTTGCATATAAACTAACCCCTTGTACTGTTAAGTGTCCATTATATGTTTATGAAAACCAAACTGTCGTTAAATATGTCACATATCTTGGTTAAGAGGTTCCTGTGACTAGAAGAGGTTGATGAAAACGGGTATAAAAACATTACCTCAAAAATAGTTTCGATAAAGATTATCTAGTCAGATAAAGAATTATTGAGTTTTTAAACTTAATATTTAATACCGCAGAACCCTGTCTTATACTTTTGAAAAATAAACATAGTAGTGTTACGACATAACATGTCTACGTAACTATATGCCTGTGTGATAATGTTATCAAATGAGTGTATTTAATCTGCAGCTGCTAACCTAATCAATATCTGAAGTTGAAATATATTTAAAACATTTTCCTTGTTACTACATCTTTCTAATTTATATTTTTCTATATAGAACTTCCTGTTGCAAAATTCCTAACAAAATGTTTGTTTTCGTCTTCTAACTACTCCAAATATTTACGAATAACATAAATTGACTGCACGGATGGTGCGGTGGCTGGGCAAGCGGCTGCCGTGCAACGCGTCGCGGGTTCGATTCCCGCACGGAACAACAGTGTGATCCACAAATTGTTGTTCCGGGTCTGGGTGTCATGTGTATGTGAACTTGTATGTTTGTAAACGCACCCACGACACAGGAGAAAATCCTAGTGTGGGGCAACGTTTAAAAAAAAAATCATTGCAATATTCGCTTCTGTCAGTGGCTTCGCCTGCAGTCCCGTGCGACATTAAGTAGCCTATGGGCTATTTCAGTTCAGACCATAATCTACCTCTGTTCCGAATTTCATTCCGATTTCTTCAGCCGTTCTGATGTGAAAGAGTAACTAACAAACAAACACACATACAAACTTTAGCATTCATTATATTTAGTAGGATGAAATTAATTAATTAGTAATAATTGAATAATTTATTCTTGTTGATTCAATTTTTCTTTGAAAACACTATAACATGGTTAGTTCATGGCAGTTTTCGCCAACCCCCTAAACCATCTGTTTACTAAAAGTTACTTGTTAGGTGACACTTAGTGAAAACCTAAATGTAATTAAATGTCACTTAGCTTAGGGAGTTCCTTAAAATAAAAATAAAATGTGTTTATTTCCTTAAATCTGTACAATTAAGTTGCCGGGACTTCCTATAAAGTTATTCGAAGGTACTTCTGAAGGGATAAACCTCGCTCCTCCTCCTTTAATTGCCATTTTTGGTTGCACTAATTAGGTATAAGATACATATTTTTACAAAACAAAATGTAGGAGAAGTTGGCAACATTTGTCATTAATATTCTTAAAACTTACACTTACTGTATATCTTTCTTATACAGAGTCTTCCCGCGCCGATGTTGGGCGGCGAACTATCTCTCATCCCGATAGAGCAACTCATACAAGTGGACGACGTCAAACCGCGCACCACCTAGCCTGGTAACTAGCTTCTTTTGTACATACTCCCCTGGTACTTTTGCATACCCAGTTGTTGAATTATGATATTATATTATTCGTTTTTAGATATTTTGTATTCGTAGTGACTGTTGTGAGATATTATTCCATTAAATTTTGCAATTTACTTTTTTAAATTATTTTATTCATAGGTTTAGTTGTGTTATACTTTATTATTATTACTTATTATACTCTTTGTGTCATAAATAAATAATACAACATATTCAGTTGAAGAAAAACTTTCTTGTCGATTTTGGGGATGTCACAATATTTTTCAGGCATACCGGGGTTCTTAGTCATGCTACAAACACCGAGTATCTTGTTGGATGCGCTGTATAGTTACTTACGAAAATCTATAACTTAGGGGCCCAGTATACCGCGAATCTAATCGGGCATTGACGAAACCATCAGTAAACGAGACAAATCTTAAATCAGTATATAATTTGTGATTACGAGTAGCATGCTACCACAAACTTGTAAAATAATGAAGTAAAGAGTCTAAAATAATAAGGTTCAAAATCGATTTAAAAATAACAGTTCAATTAACCGCTATCCAGCTTGATATCTGATGTTTGTACTTGAACATTTGGTATTTGCAGTTGATTAGTTAGAATTATCGAATGATATTCAATTACATACCTCGGGTAATCGAATGCAGACTTGGAATAATAGATAAGATTGTAATACAAATGAATTTGAAATTAATTTTATACTGTGTTTATGTAAGTCAATTATTATAATACTAGCTTTCGAAACGTCTACCCCCCATTTTAGGGAATTGGGGAGTTAGAAAAAGACAAAAAATAGCCTATGTCATCCACCCCTGTCTCCAATTAAAAAATCACGTTAAGCCATCGTTTCGTTATACCGCGAAAGACGCACAAATAAACAGAGACACATTATCGCATTTATAATATTAGTGTACACTTTTTTCTAAACTCTTAAACATAAGTCGTAGCAGTTTCTTTTTACCATTATGTTATAGCCTTCTTTAAAAAATAACACAGATATTCAACAACTGGATGTGCCTCAAACGAACGGAGTACAACTAGCTAGTTACTATATAGCGCCTGTTATAGACCATAGCATAGTATAGACGTAACAATGTATATTAAAATGTAGAATTATTCTTTCAAGGACTTATTTCATCACCTCTCAGTAAAATTAGTTCGCGTCCTCTAGTTTTCCGCCAGCGGCTTTGTTGACGTAGAATTTGAAGGTTTCATCTCGAAACAGTTTCGATTTTGTAAGAATATTGGGATAAATAGTAGCCTATGTTAGTCCCTGAAAGGTAAACTTTCCAATAGTAAAAGAATTTTCGATATCTGTCCAGTAGTTTAGAAGCCGAAGTAAGAGAATAATAAAGGGAGGTGGTGAAATAAATCCTTTAAATAAAATTGTTTTTTATAGTAGTAAACAACAGATTTAATGTTGAAACTATTGTGTTTTTTTTAAATCGTATGTTTTGACAATTCTTTTGTGGAGTACAAATTTTGTAAGCGTGTTTTTGCTTGGGAGTTGAGGCGTCACTTCCAGTACTGTATAGCGATGTAGTTTCACTTTGAATAAGTAAAAGAAAGAGTAGTTGAGTATAATTAAGACTGGTAAGTGTTTAACTTGATTTGTGTGTGTTTTTTATAATAAAAAATCATTCTATTTTCAACTTTATTACAATACAATATAGTTGACGTAATGGCGTAAAAAAATACGACTGGAAATTTCAATTTTAAATTGTAAAGGTTTCACGCCGTCATTGGGATTTGATTTTTACTGTCCCACATTTAAGTTTAAATTTTAATCCTTTCCATCAATTTACGTAAGGAGTAATTTCCTACATACATATTTTGTTTCCGACTAATCATACTTTATTTTATAAGAAAATTGAACCTTATAGCACTATACACAAGTCACATATCGTTAACCAGTACTGGGATTAACGCCGTATTTATAAAGGATGAGAAGTAAAGATTTGTGATATTGTTTAAGAAAGATATCAAACACGTCGCGTGTGATGGAGAAAGCTTTTTGATGTATTTTTACGTGTTTCGATGGAATTTTTCAATGTTATCAAAGCATAAGGGTGTATTGACAACTTTTGATTCATAATTTGGACTTTAAATTGATGGTACCTAAGGTTTATTATTGCTTACCTTCATTTTTATGATCATCCCCAAGTCACTAATTTTTATGATCATCGCCTGTCTTCCCGTTGAATAAAAATGCCTATATGGAGCCTGTATGTTGTCCCGGACCACATATAATCTACCCCTGTCCCTATCATCCAGATCCCTACAACCGTTTAGATTTGATTGAGTGAGAAGCATACACAAAGTCGTTCACAAACTTTCGCATTTATAATGTTAGTAAGATAGTTTTATATGCCAGCAAATACCAACTTCTAGCCCGCCACAATCTCCCAAAACTGCAACTCCTGTACTCCAGGATCTACAGTATATACAACCATGAAAACACCGGAACACTAGAGTCCGGCGCGTCCCGGGGACATGAATAACTGTCATGGTTCCCGCAACGAAGTGAATCAGAAGATATTACAAGAGAAGAAATAAATTAATTAACCCCAAAGACACGAAAAGAGACTGTACAACTGGGAGAAACCCAGTCGCCAAGCACCACGGAAATTTGACTAAAAACTTCTTTACTGCTGTCTATGGTAAACAAAGCTTTTGAACCGCCTTGTTGTAATTGGGATGATGACAGGGTATGAAAATTAAAAATCTAATTAGTTCATCAGTTAGGTAATGAAAAAATATTAGACACGTATTTTTTTATTTTGTCGTATATTAACAGTACTTAGATAAAACGAATCAAAGTTTAGGAGTGGGGGCCAAAACGTCATTTCTACGTATAAAATGTATATAGAAGTGACGTCACGCGACATTTCAAATCAATATACCTATCGTCAAAAGTATTAGTTTCTGTAAGAAAATAAAAAAATCGTGTCTAATGATTTAAAATAATCTACCAGACGGACATTAAAATAACAATTAGGCATCTACCCTATTGGGTACTTGCCAAGTAGTCAAATTCACCACTTTTTCCGAACTGTCAAAAACGACAGTTTTCTATGAATTTTGTACGAGATTGTGTATTGTGACGTCACGTTTTTGTAGCATCAAACAGCTACTTGTTTCTTAAAAATTTGCTGAATAAATACTAAATTAAGTTGGTCATAAAATCAATCAATAATATTTTTAAGTAATTCATTGTATTGAACAGTCGAAATAGTTTATTTTTGATTAAGGCAAGTACCCAATTAGTCATCCTAGTCTGTACTAATGTGTAAACATGAAACACATTCCCGACTATAATAGTCATATAGGAAATTGTTTGATTGCACCATCATTTGTCATTTTTGCACAATAATGATGCAATACAGATGTCAAAAAAAGTCAAAAGTCAAAATCATTTATTTCAATTAGACCAGGATGGCACTTTTGAACGTCAAACAACAAAAATTTATAAGTGAAGCTAGTTGCTCATTCCAAGGCGTAGATTCCTATGGAGAAGAACGAGCAAGAAACTCCATAGGTTACTCTTTTTCAATCAGGTTTACAATACAATTCTCTAGTAACATAGTTTTATTGGTTCGATTATGTGAGAACAATGCAACACCTAAATCCAGTCAGAAAGACTGAAAAAGAAAATAACCTTGAGGATAATAAAATAAAAAGATACAGTCTGGAGCTGACCAGTCCCAATCGACGGTGCCCGTTCTCATGTGATGTCTCACTAATATCGAAATACTCATACGCTACACATAATTTTAAGTACAAATTATCACAACAAATTCTTGTTGTTGCTTTATTTCACTATTTCACGTCGGTTTTCTGTGAGGCCGTGGTATCACTCCGGTCGAACTGGCCTATTCGTGCCGAAGTATGGCGAGCCCATACTAAATGACATATTCATAAGTGTATACAAAAGTTGTCAATACACCCAAAGCTTAATGTTTTTGTTGTAAGGTTACACGTGCCGCGATATCGTTTCCTAAGCTTGTCTCGTAAAGCAATTGTCCGACAATAATTTCAAGTTGCTCTCTCTATTTCATTCAAGTGTTAAATCGTTTCGTTCGCTTTAATATCCGACCGGGTGGTATCTGCTAACCTTATATTTATATATACTTTAAGTAATCAAAATCTCTTATTATGTTCTTTATGTTTGAAGTAATAAGGATCAAAACTGTATGGTTTAGCACTATGTGTGTGTAAACAGAATCTCTTTAGTTATTATAGTATAGTATTTGATTATGTTCTTAAAGTTTGTGGTAATAAGGATCAAATCAGTTTGCTGTGTAATTTATACAGATTTAATTTTAGTATTCTATTGTGTACTCTATTTGGTTTCGTTAACCTACTTATAAATAGACTTGATTATACTTAGGCCAATATTGGTATGCAATGTTTATAATGGCGGCACCAGACATGTGCGGGCGTACGGTAAACGGACATTTAATGCTAATTTGTTCGTGTCACACGAACAATATGAACAAACAAGTGCGCACATGTCTGGCGCCGGCATTAACCTTTCCTATTATTTAGTAGTCCACGAAGTATATACTTTTTCTCAAAACTTATATTATTATAATATCCTATTGCAAAACTGTATTTTCAGGTATAAAAAACTACCAACATACCAGTGTTGTTAAGTAATTTTTCAGTATTATTTCTTTATATATATAGGAACTTGTATATGACTATACCTCATCCCGGTCGGTCTGTAAATAGTATTATGTAAAACTAGTTCTAATTGTGTATCACTCTTTTTAAAACGGCTAGAACTATTTCACTTCTTATCTATTTAGGATAATATGTATTTGTATATTATATACCTTGCATATAGTGACATGTCATAAGTTACTATGAAAGCTAGATAAAGTATTGTTGAGTATTTTCGGTTTCCTCAATAAGTTATTTTCAACCTCACCCTTTGGTAATAAAGTTAAGAATCTATTGATGCATTT